ACATACATACATACATACATACATACATACATACATACATACATACATACATACATACATACATACATACATACATACATACATACATACATACATACATACATACATACATACATACATACATACATACATACATACATACATACATACATACATACATACATACATACATACATACATACATACATACATACATACATACATACATACATACATACATACATACATACATACATACATACATACATACATACATACATACATACATACATACATACATACATACATACATACATACATACATACATACATACATACATACATACATACATACATACATACATACATACATACATACATACATACATACATACATACATACATACATACATACATACATACATACATACATACATACATACATACATACATACATACATACATACATACATACATACATACATACATACATACATACATACATACATACATACATACATACATACATACATACATACATACATACATACGTATATATATCTATATAAGCTACCCCCTGGAGTACTTAGGAGTTTGATCATAGACTCGCGTTTATGCTGGTAAACTAAAGATACCACGCACCTTTTCCTTCTGCCTTTTCTGCCAATATCCTCAGGATGATCTAGGATGTGCTAGCACATCCTCATTGAAGGTTGAAGGTGGACGATTTCCAGGAACAGGTTGCTGGTACAGCCATACTCAGGGTAATCCAAGATGTGCTAGCCTGCGAGTCAAGATCGAGGCTTACCATAACAAGTTGCCTCATCCTGAGAAGCTACGATTTGCTAGGATGTGCAATCAGGAATAGTTGCAATCAATATACATTCAGTTTGACAATCTAAATGTGACTTTTTGATGAAGCATTTTGTGTTGGATTCAAGATTAAATGCTGGACTCCTGAGAATCTTAACTCTTGAGCGCAGGCATGCTTTAAAGCGCTTGAAAGCACCCTGCTCAGTTTTGAAGGGCTTTAAGCATGGCTGAAACATTGGACCAATCAGCTTGCACATAAGAATAACAAATTTACGGGGGTTTTGAACAGCACGTGGTGTTATTTCTTTGAGTTTGGGCTACTGCATTTTTGCAATGATATCAATGATATTTCTGTATGGCATGTCAATCCGTATCCAAATTTTCAACAAGACCCTCCTGCAGAAATGTATGCTAAAGGTCATGAGTCGTGCACTTGGTCAAAAGGAAGACTGTGGCAAGGTTGCCACTGTCAGTTGTGTCTCGACTTTCCGGCCGGTACAGAGTACCAGTAGAGCCGGCGAAGCCGGTGGGCGGAGCTTTCAAAAATATAAAAACTATAGTTCTCTTTCTCCTTCTTTTCTTGACTCTGTTCCCTGTCTTTTTGTCCTTCTTGTTGTTCATTGTTTCTTTTCTTTCCGTCTTTCTTTCTTTCTTTCTTTCTTTCTTTCTTTCTTTCTTTCTTTCTTTCTTTCTTTCTTCGGAGACTTGTGCCTGCGCGTCTGAAGACAACAGCGGCCACACCCAGCGCAGGAACCGGTAACCGAATCGGAAGTCGCTATTCAGCTCTCTGCGGGACGCGCAAAACAGCTGCTCGGGAGTCGACACGCCAAACTGCACAAAACACGATCTGCGACTACGCAGAATTTCGAGGTATCTTTCCACGTGCCGCTTCAACGCCGGCTGAACCGCCAAGCGTTGATCGGCTGCAGGCTCACAGAGCATGGCCTCCCACTCTGCCAGCACATCCTTCTGCTGCAGCGAAAGCTTGGGGAAGCACCGGCCCATGAAATTCTGGCCGAACTTGATCTCCTTATCGATTTGTGCAGCGTGTGCCTCAAAGATTGCCTTCAAGGATGGCTTGCGCAGCGCAGCAAACTCATCGAAGCGCCGCTCAAGCAACTCAAGGAGCTTGTCCAGCTGCCGCTGAAGCGCCGGCTGAACCCCCAAGCGTTGATCGGCTGCAGGCTCACAGAGCATGGCCTCCCACTCTGGCAGCACATCCTTCTGCTGCAGCGAAAGCTTCGGCCCATGAAATTCCGGCCGAACTTGATCTCCTTATCGATTTTGGCAGCGTGTGCCTCAAAGATTGCCTTGAAGAATGGCTTGCGCAGCGCCGCAAACTCATCGAAGCGCCGCTCGAGCAACTCAAGCAGCTTGTCCAGCTGGTGCTGGATGATGCCCGGCTGAGCCGCCAAGTGGTCCGCGACCATGGGGCCCTTTCTGGCTGCGCCTGAAGTCCCTGCCGTGGCTCGCCGGTTCGCAGCAGCTGCTGCAGGTTGCTGCATCGTAGCGCCTGCAGGTCCGCGGCATGAGAGTCTAAGTATCCGTAAAGCGTGTGTCGCTGACCATGGCACGCTAGCGTTAGCCGGCTGAACCGCCAAGCCAACCCCTGCGCGCTCAATGCCCTACAGTCTGCTGCGATGTTGCTTCTCTGTGTGAACATTGCTCTGTCATGTCCTTGGCACACGAGATGAAACATTTCTTTATCAAATGCACTTGAATGCATCAAGAGTCAAACCATCATATGGTTTAGTTCTTGCACATGTCTGCAAAAAGTGAAACACGGTGTTTGTTTTACACTTTGCAAACGTAGAACGCAAGAACACGCTGTAAACATGAATGTTTTTTTTGGCGTGCCCAACTCAATGTGGAATGCCCCCAGCGACCAGAATCTGGTCACATGTGCTGTCAAAACGCAATTGCTACGTGGAAGGGCCTCCAGAAACAAGAGATATATCAGGGGGGGGGGGCTGACCATACAGGGCACTGACAGCTCGGAACAAGTAATCTCGGGTGCTGCCTGTTTGTTTTTTTGTAGGCGCTTAGCCAAACGCACTTCAGCCTGTTTTCGTGAATCTGCATGTCTCGCAGCATGGGGAAAGTGCACAGTTCAACACTAATTTTATTGCAAACTTGTGATATGAACTGACCCTCTGGTGAGCATTTCGAAATTTGTTCTCCATGCCTTCTCAGAGCACATGATGCCAGATGTGGATTCAGAATGGGCTGCGCCGGCTGTCGCACGTGGGGCGTGCGCCATTGCTGAGGTGGCAGCGAGCGGAGTGCTGAGCGGGTGGTGGATCGCGTTTCACTGTGGGAAGGGAACGGTTGTGCAGCAACAGCGGAGATGACAGGAATGATAGTAACCTTGCTGCCTATGCTGCTCAGCCAGGTGACCGGCGTGAAGAGGAGATGTTCTTGGGTATGGATATGAAGAATGCACCAAGACGTTTCCTTTGCTTGCTACTGAAAAGGGCTCAGCAACGAAATTCGCTCACATGGCCGCAGGCAGTTTTCTAACTAAGGTTGGAGCGGCCACCCCTGCCAGAGGCGAGAACTGGCGTTCATAGCATAGACTTCTTTGACAGTGCGAACAGTTGGGCCTGGGCGCTAGGGTAGAAAGCCGAGGGCAGGTAAGGCACCACGCGTTTTGTTCAAAAGTTTGCCGTTTTCCGCAGGCGCGGGGGGCGCTGGAGGTTGAGCTGGGCACCTAGAGCAAGAGTGGTTGGCAAAGGGGCTGGAAAGTAGGTGCGCAAAGCTGAAACATATTGAATCTTGATGGCATGACCCGTTTGGGTGTAGGCCTGGGCCCAAGTGCTAAACATTGCCCGTATAGGTTGGCGACGAACAGATAGCTCGCCAGTTGCTTGCGCTTAAACTTATGTTTCATGCTTTCCCCTCGCCCAAAACTTATTGGCAGCCCCAGAAGACTTGGACAAGTGAGACTCAGTCGGTCGGACAGTGTCAGGCTTTTTTGCTGCGAGCCTTAAGCAGCATCCTTTTTGGCCGTTTAATGTGCATCCACTAAGTCCCCATCCCCTTCAAGATGTAGCCCTCCCGAACCAGTGACCCCCTCTGAGTCTCAACTCAAATGGATGCCGCAGCCCGTTTCAAGAAGTCGCAACTTGTCACCTGCCCGGAGGTTTGATGCCTGTATGTGGGTTTGTCTCTGAATGAGGGCACTCCAAAATCGTGGTTTGTGTTTTCCCTTTAAACCAAGCAAAAAAGGGATTCCCGAAACAAACACACCCACATCTTTTTGGGGTCCCTGCTCGAGGCTCATTGCCAAGCCCAAGAAGCGCCTGGGCAAGGCCAAGGCGAGAACCCGGACGCGTAATCAGCACACCTAAAAACACGCCGCGCCTTGGGAATGGAAAGCCAAGCTGCTGTTTGCTGAAATCCCCTATGCTGAGCGTCGCTCCATGTTTGTGCTTTGCGAATCTCGGATATACAAGCCCCGCAGTCCCTGTGGATGGCTATGATTTCTGCATTCAGCGGAACTGATTTGCCAGTTCTGATTTGTCGACATCGATGCGAGGCTTCGCCGTCCTCCTCGAGGGTGGGGGCCTCAAGGGTGGGTGGGACGAAGTGCTGATCTTGCGGCCGGTTGCTTGCTTGCTGGGGATGATTCATTTGTACTTTGTGCGTTGGGTGGTTGGTTTGTCGGCAAATTTCGAGCATGCTCTCATTGCTGCTGCTGGTGGTGAACTTGAGCGTGCAGTAATATCATAGCAATCAGCATTGTTCCTGTTTGCTGGCATTCAGGCGGGTCAACATGCTGGACCAGTCTGGCCCAAAATTGCTTACGCAGCAAATTAGTTTGAAGCATCAAGGAGATTGACTACTTTGTCACCCCCACATTTGTGCACCAGATTGGGTTGATCCCCTGAACATGTCGCTTTGACAGCTTTGAGGGGCTCCCCACCTCCAAGCCCAAACGCAAGCTCACCGACGAAGCAAGTCAGTCAGATTTTACGCAGGGGCGGCTGCAACTCATGTGGCTGATAACTCGTGATGAGCAGTGAAAAACACCTATTCAATTAGGTGCTAGCTGGCCAACTATGACTCGTTACCCGCGCACTCGAGAGCGTCGTGGCAACGCGCAGCAGCAATTCTTGTTATTGGCGCAAGAGTCTGCACTGCTTGACCAGCGCATGGCAACATAATGGCTTACTGTAGATGCTTTGGCTTTTTGGATTTCCCAGGCCATGACGCCGGGCCTGGATGACACAGGTGGGGGGCGCAACGGCATGTCTTGCCATTCTAGATCCAAGGGTAGGCAACTCGGGTGAGCAGATCATCCTTGTGACAAGTCCTTTTTGCCACTTGTCGCCAGCGGGCCATGGGAAGCGGCGTATTCTACAGGTTGAGCATTTTGCACGCCAGTTTCGCCCGCATCCCTCACATGAGAAGTGATTGTTCTCGGCTGCGGATCAATTTCACCAAAGCTGTTTCATGCGTAGGCCATTCAACCTTTTTACCCAGATGCACCTAACTTTGTGGCTCTAGCTTTGCAGGCACTAGGCGGGCATTTAATCTGACACATGGGAACGGGCACAGGCACAGTTAGCATTTGCTCTGTGTCAAGAGTGCGGTTATTGCCATTTTACAGTACCTCGCTGGAACTTGCGAGGATTGCAACTGAGTTTGATGGCGCATGAAAGACAGAAAAGAAAGCAGGACCATATATATGTACACTTATTGTTATCATGATTACTATGATTATTTCTTACTATGATCTATTATTATTATTATTAGTATTATTTTTATTATTATTATTTATTATTATTATTATTATTATTATTATTATTATTATTATTATTATTATTTATTATTATTATTATTATTATTATTATTATTATTATTATTATTATTATTATTATTATTATTATTATTACTATTATTACTATTATTATCATCATTATTATTATTATTATTATTATTATTTATATAAATTGTGTGTTGCAGGGTTGGTCTCATATTGCTCTCCTTTCCAAACATGGGGTCAACCAAACGTGATGACTTGGCAACTTGTCCTGTACTTCCCTCGCATTTTGGTTGCTGTCCTAGCTGTCAGGCTTCATGATGGATGGCTCGGACACACCAAGCCGTCCTGCCGGGTGCCTTTGGGGCAAAGTGTGTGGACTTCGGGGGCTCGCACTGTTTTTTTTTGAAGCCATTTGTCACTCGGCTTTCGAGATTACCATTGCTACCGTGCTTTCTTCGCCTTTTGGATGTCAAGCTTCCCAGCTGCACGGGAGACTTTGCTAAGATATTTTTGTGCCAATGACCGCGAGTCTCAGGCCCAGGCCCAGGAGCCGGCCATGTCCTCGCCGCCCCGTTCAGGACCGGGAATCGAATCGGAAGCAGTGGCTGCACTTGTTTGTTATTCCTTATGGCTTTTCCAAATTGGATTCCAATTTCAAGGCCATGCCTGCTTAGACCGTACCCCTCACCTTTGATTGTGGTGGGGATCGTGCAGGGTTGCTGTTTCCCAATCTTGTCTTTGGACGCATCACCTTGCTGGTCCGGCCGAAGAATCGGGAATCTGGTGCAGGAGCGCCGTCGGAGTCGCTGGGGAGCCTAGGTGAAGAGCCAGATGGCCGGCCTTTGAGCAGGTTGGATATCCACTTTCGTACTAGTGGAATTTGCCCACGGGGTCCGTCTTCATCTTGAGCGTGCACGAGACAAAGCACAAAACCTGCTGCAAGCCATTTGCCAAAATTACTCCGCTTCGAGCAATCCCCACCCTCCACACTCACGAGCTTACGATTATGAACACGGTTGTGTGAATTCAAGCATGGTTTTCGAGTGGCTTGGGGCCTTATCCACCTGTCTGTGTGTCTAACTCCACTTGTCTGCGAGCCGATCTCGAGAACTCAAACATCGGTTCCGTTAACAAAAGCCAAGCCCCTTCCAAAAAGAAACCCGACGGGGAATTCAACGAAGTTGCTTATTCACAACCCAAAGCAACACAAAAACATCACCCTTTCCGAGCCTCAGGGTACACTCAAAACACGAAGGCGCCAACATGAAATGTAAACCCAACTGTGCGCGGGGCGGGACATTAAGCAACACCAGACTGGCGAGCTGCTCTGGCGGGATTCTGGCGGGATCCACTGGCGAATACAGGCGAGCCGCTCCGGCTCGATACTGGCCGGACACTCGGCAGGATCCACCGGCCAGGGATACTCAGCGGGATACTCGGGCGGGACCCACTGGCGAGCTACTCTGGGATACTGAGCGGGATAATCGGCGGGAGCCGCTGGCGGGCTGCTCTGGTGGGATACTCGACGGGATCCACTGGGGCGAGCTACTCTGGCAGGATGCTCGGCGGGATCCACTGACAACCAGCTACTCTGGGATGCTCAGCGGGATACTCGGCCACTGGCGCGCTGCTCTGGTGGAATGCTCGGCGGGAGGGATCCACTGGCGAGCTACTCTGGGATACTCAGCGGGATACTCGGCGGGGCTCTTCTGGAAAACTCAGCGGGATACTTGGCGGGGTCCACTGGCGGGCTGCTCTGGTGGGATACTTGGCGGGATCCACTCGGACGGGATACATATACTGGGCGGGATCCACGGGCGAGCCACTCTGGCGGGATACTTGGCGGGATCCACTGGCGAGCAGCTCTGGTTTGGCGGGACCCACTGGCGAGCTGCTCTGGCGGGATACTTGGCGGGATCTACTGGAGAGCTGCTCTGGCGGGGTACTGGGTGGGGGCGTGGTGTAGAAGCATCGCAAACGCGGATTCCAACATAAAATCTAACAACCGTAGTTTTAAGGGCATGGTGGCCTGCATCAACCCACCAATGCCACGGCAAAGGCGACTGCTCTTTGCAAAGACACAGATCCTTAGAAGAAGCTGTCGACTGACAGGTGTTTGGCCGGTGGTCAAAGGAACAATCACAGCTTTGACACTGGAAGGATCTAATCTTTGGATATCGGTGTGCAGACCGTGGGAGATATTGCAGCTTCAAGCCAGGCAAACACACACGCTGCACATGAAAGAAGTTGCAGCTGCAAATCGTGCTGAGCCTCGAAAAGCGTTTGCAAGTTGGAGTCAGACCTATGCTGCATGAGGAGATTGCCAAGCAAAACAAGGACTTGGTTTCCAGCACGCAGACCTAGGACTTTTTGGGTATCGACAGGCGTCGAAAAACTCACACTGTTCAGAACATCTCTAAACACCACTCTCTCAGAAGCGTGAATTGCGTCTTGGACCTGTCTTAGCTTACTTCTTGGCTGGAGGGGGCAGGGCATCGCCGGTTTCCGGTTGCAATTCGAGTTGGATGTTCGTTGAGGCAAGCTCTAGCCCAGCCTCAGCCGGAAGTGCATGAGCCTGGGCCCCAGAGGTTTAGACACCCGTAAAGCTAGGCACGGTGTGTATGTAATGTAAAGTAATGTAAAGTAAAGTAAAGTAAAGTAAAGTAAAGTAAAGTAATACAATGTAATGTAATGTTCTGTATGCATTTTTTTTTTTAAATGTAATGTACGCATGCATGCATGCATGTGTGTGTGTGTGTTGTATGGGTGTGTGAAGCACCAGGTTTTTGTCCCTTTTCCTGGGTTCAGACCCGTTCAAGGGGGACATGCTGCAGACACGTGCGCAAAGCGCCATAGTCCAACATTCTGAAGTGTCCACCCAAACAGTTTGGGGATCGGACTATCACACGTTTGGCCAAACCCATGGCGCAAATGGACCGATGCTTGCAGACCATTGCAGTAGAGCATGTTGTTTTGCTCCGGATGTTCTCGATGCTCATGTGACTGTTGCTTTCACAGGCTTCATTTCTTGAATTATTTTCCCCGACCTTGCTTACGCCTTGTTGACCTTGGGACTGACCTTTGAAAGTCGTGGTACTGGTGCAAGCGACGGCTAGGGAGGATGACGACGATGACTTGGGTGGTCTGTTGCAGGAGGGGAGAGGGTTTCGGAGGCCACCGAGCTTGGCTTCGTCCATTCGAACAAGACTTGTATGAGCTTTGAATTGGTCTGAGTTGCTGGCAGCCTCTACAATGGACACTTAACATTTTTTTAATTCAATATTTGTATTGTAAATGCGGTGCATGCCTCTCTGTGCGAGGGACACGGATCGTAAGGAACACACACACAACAGACTAGTGTCATTTGCGGAGCAGACCTCACTAAGATATTGACATGTTCTTAGCCAGTAGTCAAAGTTCAGACTCTTCAAAGCCTAAGGTTGACAATTTGTCATTCCATCGTGTCTTGACATCGCAACTCTCACCTCAATGCCCTCCCAGTATCCACCGAGGACAAAATCCTGCACCTCCGAACGGTGGTTTTGCGCACCTTCGGACTCCTGACATTGGATGCCTGAGTGGCAGACTGCCCCATTGTGGATGCCTGGCAGCGCTTTCCACTCGTGCCATCAGTGCCATCAGTGCCATCAACATCGAAAAGGAGAAGGGAGCGAGAGGGAGCGCCCAATTCCTGCAGCTTTCCACTCGTGCCATCAGTGCCATCATTGAAAAGGAGAAGGCGAGGAATGGCTCGGGCAAAGCGGTGCAGGATTTCGTTTGCCTAGCGTAGCATTGCTCGGGCTAGCTAATTTGCAATCTCCCTGTCGGATTGTAAGGCCATCTGCAAAGCTCAACAAGCAAACCTTCCTGGGCTTTGCTCGGACTTCGACTTGAGCCTCCAGAGTGCTCGCAAGGTGCCGTGTGCCAAGCTGGTAGCTTCAATTCCTGGACCTCGCTTCACTTAGCTCATATCTCATTTACCTTGGCTCATCAAGGGAACAAATACGATAGTCATAGAACTGCATCGCCTTGGCAATTTTCCGTTGAACCTTGCAAAAAACGTTCAGCAAGAACGTTTGGCAGCGTTCACAATTCTTAATCCGCTCTTCTTCATCGCTTTACCAACCGATTCAATGTATATTACGATCTTTACCGCTCACGAATCTGACTTGTCACGACCGCACAAAGGCCATCAGCTGCTCGCTCAGCCATCCAACAATGCATGACCCTCCCACACTCGAGGCATCTCAGGTTCTTGTCGAACCAGTGCACTCTGAAAGTCGCTGGGTTGCCCGTCTTTTTGGAATCGACGGCCAAACACGGACTCTCATCCCAGGCTGGGCTCGCCCGGTGCCTCCAGGGGGAGAATTGCCGCCTCAAACCACCACGCGTCACGCGAACGAATTACTATTGCAAGAAGTGCCTGATCTTGATGTGGGTAACTTGAAAGATGGTGGTTGTCCGCTCGGTTTCCCTTTCACCAACCCCAAAAAGGGTCTCCACCCCAAGAAGAATAAACCAACACGTCATCCAAGTCAAATTCCACATGTTCGGCTGAAAGCTAGCCAGGGCCAATCTGCCTTCCAATTGGGTATGTGACCAACAATGAGCCAGGCTTTCAGGCGATGATGCGAAAGATGTGTTGTTTTTGGTGTCAACCCCGCAGGGGGTCGTTTGAGAAAGAGACACCTTCCTCGCCTCGAGGACAACTCCTCGCAGCCGAAGAGCACTCCGCCGCGCGCCCCCAGCGCTGCCCCCAGCGCTGCCGCCAGCGCTGCCGCCAGCGCCGTGCCCAGCGGGTCTGGCCCGAAAAGCGGGCCTCCAGCGAAGGCAGGGCATGCCTCCTTGCATCGGAATTCTGCACCTTGTCCTCTAAACATGCGCACAAAGCTCCAAAGTGAAGTTCAATTACTCGCCAATTGATACTTTGATGTTCCCGACAAATCCTGTCTGCGGGTCGCATTCCAAAAGCATGACTTGGACCGACTGGTTTTGCCTAGACGCGAGTTTAACTTTCTTTTGAACCATGTCTCTGTGGGAATGGTGGACTTGTCCGGAACATTGCGATTGGCAGTAAAGTTCCTTAGCACTCGCATTATGGTATCGAGATAATGTGCCCATGTGTGTCAAAGTCCTTGTAACAAGACTCGCTGACTACAGTAGGCAACCCTATTGTGATGTCTGGACTGTGTTGGTTCCCTCAACACGGAATAATATGGCAAAAGGCGGGAACATGCATTCTCCCCCACTTGCAGCCTCAAAATGTTCGCTCCTCTTTTCAGTCCGCGAGCCAGTGCAGGCAGAAGACGACGAGGATGAGGCTTGCGCCCCGAGAGGATTGCTTCACTCGTCCTGATTAGAGGATGACACGCCAGCTAGCATGTATCTGTTTGAAAGTGTGCTTTTGGTGCTGCTTGCTGATCCATCTCATACATAGTGAAGCCAACCGAAAGCAGTGATTGCTTTGCACGGTTTGCACGCGTTCAATAAGCACCCAAGTTCAAAGAGCGCCTAATCCAGGTTTTGCTCGATGAGCATCAGACATGACAGCCGCCACGACGGGCTGTGGTGGGTCACCTTAGCTGCAGATGTTCGTTGTCCGACCTGAAGGGCTTTTGTGAACCAGGTGTCTCGTTTTTTTTCTTCTTCTTCTTCTTCTTCTTTTTCACATGAAGGGAATGCCAGGATTTCATTCCATGAACACTCGTGACTCGTGTCTCGTGACTCGTGTTTGTCCCATTGCCCACATGACCAATTGAAATGCTTCTCTCGGGATTGGTCCCCTCTTGGGGCGCATCGAGCTGCAGCTCATGGATCTTTGGGCAACAAGTTTGGCCTGGCCCGGTGAGGAAAGGCAGACCTCCTTAGTTTCTTAAGCAAATGCAACAGAATAGGAAGCCAGGACTGGATGACGTCTGGCACTCTACTTATTTAATCAATCACTGCTGTCATGTTCCTTTCTCCCTTAGTAGATGTCTAGCACACCTTTCCAGGCAGCTTGGGCGCCCATATTTTCTTCAGTTTGCCGGCCTGCAGTCCTGTAATTACATGAACATCTCATATTTTCTTAGATTGTTGTTGAATTGGGGATGACACGGGACCCAATCCCATGTCCTTTTTAGGCTTTGAGGTAACGCAGAAAATTTCCAGCGACTCACTTGCCCACTTGGCCAGCTGTGGTACCATCTTTTTCAGTTTTGGTTGTGCTTTTGCACTTGTTCGAATTTGTTCTTTTCCAGTTTTGGGTGTCTCGCTCTTTTCCCTCCTGAACTGTAACTTGCGACTCTATCTTCGCCCGTAGGGCCGCCACGCCCACTGACTGCCCTGCCCCGATGTTTGTCGTCAGGGCCTGCCAGAGTTCTTGCGGAACCGCGAGGGCCGGTCGCGGCGCGGAGCTGCCGGGATGCCTAGGATTGTGAGTGACGAGCTGCCTTGGGACGAGCTGATTTGGCCGCTTTGCAGGAGCATATGCTGCTGAGCGGTATCGACAGTATCATAGTATGTTTTTACGGTTCGAACAGATGACCAATGGGAGCAGAGCGCAGGCATTGTTCTGCACATTAAACGCTTCCTGTGTTCGAAGCTCGCGAATGTTCTGGCAACTCAATCTGGCAATTGCTCAGCCCCTGGTTTCCAAACTTTCAAGAAATGCACAGACTCTGCTGAGTAGACCTATAGGAGGATCAACAAGAAGTCAAGCAGCAAGCACAAAGGGCTTGGGCCTTTCCTGCTTGCAGGTTGATTTCGATTGCAACTAAAAGCAGCCAGAAGGTTAGACAAGGGAAGCCGGTCCAGAATTGCACTTGACTAGTCCTTGTCCGGGTCCCACCGAGGCCTCGGCACGCTCGGCGCAGAGTGCGCAGAGCGCGCCTAGTGCACAAAGTGCGCCCAGCGCGCAGGGTGCCCGTGCTGTGTCGAAGCCACCCACCCCGCCAACGCCGCCGAAGGCTGGGCTTATGGGCCGAATTAGAGAGAGTGAAGACAGGATCAGTTGACTCAGTGTTTTTTACATCCTGCGGACAGCATCGCTGAATCCAAATTGGTTTTGAGACGCTGCTGTGGCTCCAGGTTGATGGCTAACTCAAACTCCGTCTGACATCCATTCAGGGAGCTATCGCCAGGTTTGCCGGACCAATTCGCTCAAGAGTTTATTGCGCGTCTCATTTGAGCCTTTGAAATCCCAACCGGCTGTTTTCTCCCTCTCCGCGAATGGTCAAGCTGGAAGAAGGGTCATCAACGGTGCCTGAGAATTCTCGCACCACCAAGGGCATATTTGATTTGTGAGCCAAGGGCATGTGGTAATCCACAGCGGTAGCTGCCCGTGCCAGTTCGACTTGGGCTTTGACGAGTGGGCGGCCTCATCGTCGAGCCAGTCAGTGTTGCCTCGTTTTTGAGAACTCACTCTGTGTATATAGGTTGATTGGTGCCTCTGGTACTGTCTAGGGTTAGCAAGTTGGCTAAACACTTTTGCCCTTTCAGTCAACATCTTGCAGTGAGTATTATCCTATTATTATCCTATTATTATTGAGTCACCTACCGCGTGCTTACCTCTGATCATCTCAGTGTCTGTTCGTTTTCAATCTCCCATGTGACACAGCAAGCCTGTTGCTCAGTGGCGAAGGCCTGCAGGCTGACGATTGCCCTTGCAGATTGGACATATATTTTGTTATATAAATTGGGGAGTTACTCGCCCAATACCCGTGTCTGGGGAGACAATGAACATAATGAACAACCATGGAGAAGGGTCACTTGCAAATCAAGACACCAACATCTCAGTGAAGAAAGCGGCACGGAATCCAGGGATCGCAAGCGGGAAGCCAAGGCAGCCATACACTCCCTGCAAACCTTGCGACGCCTTGCGACGCCTTGCGATCTTGCAGCCTGCGAGGTCAGAAGTTCACGCGCTCGAGCCCCGGAGTTTCTGGAGCCCTGGAGCTGGCTCGAAGCAGAGAGAGCAATGCATTTGTTTGACGTTCAACAAGGCGCCTACCCACATCAAATCGAAAGAGGCAAACTCTCTGACAATTCGAATGGACAGAGGCCGGCTCATGGATTTTTGAGCGCTGAAGTTGAAGTACGTGCTTTGGGATGACATTTGGAGATCTACCACGCTTCTTGTTGTTTGTATTCGGCACGTGGATCACGTGCTATGCCTCCATGTCAGAGGTGTTGAGAGGTCAACGGCATGAAGATGTGACTTTTCGTCGATCTGGGGTAGGTCTCCGTTGTGCCAGTTCAGAGTTTCACTGAGTTCTAGTCTAGACCTCCGAATCTCACAAGCCAAGTCACGGGATACTGCTACTTTGATCTTGAAGCAGACTTTGGTGTGACTTGGATGGACTCGGTGTACATGGAAGGGTTGCGCGACACCTCACATATTTTGGCGTGTCCCTTCAATCGGCGACTCGCTCCCAAAGCTCGTCGTTGCTTCGAAACGAGGCAGAGCCCAGTTGCGGCGCAGGCTGGCTGTTATCCTGTCACCCTTTGTTCAAAGACGCTCGCTATGGAGAAACTTGTTGGATGATCCTATTTAACATTTCTGACTCTGGCTTAGTTGACACATTTCGATTCACTCGAATGCCTTGGATCAGTTTGGGACACTTTCTCGCATTCCTGCAGGCCGTTTGTGCGAATCTCCGAAGAGTGCCAGAAGGATGTGTACATTTACTCCTAAACCAAAGCAACAAAAACAGCAGGTCCCAGCTCTATTGCCCCATCGAGTTTGGAGTGAATCCAGCCACGATTCCCTGCATGCTCGACTTGGTCTGATGTTGAGTTGCATGACAGACGTGGCGGCCGAGACTCCAGCCCAGCCGAGCCACTGCCCTTTCCTGGAATCGGGTCCGCATGGCCAGGTTCCAGTCGCAGGAGGCGACGGTTGCCATTCAGGGGGTTCGAACACGCAAGGAGACCACCAAAACTTTTATATGGACATTGTGGAGACATGCTTCTCTTTGCATTCAAAGATTGACAACATGGAACAGCCTAGAGCTGAGAGCAATGCCGGTTGACTCCGCAGATAGGGGTATGGCTAGCCCTCAAGCGATGCAACTGCCGTTGGCACACTTGCCTTGTTGCAGCAGGCAGCGCCAGCAGTAGCCGGCACACTATGCACTTGCCTCAGCTGCGCAATGTCATCAATGCTGCAACTGTGTGTACGACCCCCTCATCACTGAGAGATGTTTGTATCCCTGTGCTGATTGTCTATGACTTCACCAGCGTCCTAGCATGAAGCCCAGAGCATGCCTGTTGAAACAAAATCTCAGCACGCCATTGTCGTGTTCACGTGATGGTGGCTCAGAGGGATGGCTTTGCCATAGTGTGGGAGCTGGCAGAGGTGCCCACTTTTCTAGGATTGAGTCAAGACATGCGACCGCTGGCGGTGCCTAGCTTTGTGTCTGCCGCCTTTGCAACAGACAAGCGTGGGATGACAGCAACTGCTCCTGTTGCGGCCATGCCTCGAAAGGTTCCATGACTTGTCCAACGGGCTATTGTACTTGACAGGCGCTCCCAGTGGAGATCTCTATAGCAGTGTTCTCCTGGTTCTATGACACGCTTTTAGCATTGCAACACATTCGTGCTACCCCCCCCCCCCCCCCAGGCCAAAGTAGCTGCGAGGGTTGTGCAGTCTACGCTCGCTAGACCTGGATGAGAAATGGCCAGCCTAGCTTTACATTGGAAGTATTAGATTTCGTGTTTGGTCACCAAGGCACAAACCAAAGCAAAGCATACATGCAAACACCCGCCAGCATCCGTGGGCGAACATGATACGAAGTTACTCCAACAAGGTACCCTCGCCAGCTGTAGATCTGCAGGCCAAAAAGCAGCAGCTCCCGGCTGGCTAGGGGCCTCAGAACAGCTGGCAACCCTGCCGGCACAGGGATTCCTTAGAATCCTTGGGTTAGATTTCTGTGTCTTTAGAGACAGTCCTTTTTGTGATCATGGCAATTAGCGTTTATCGATGCTCCGCGATCCTGTTTGTCTCAGCGCTTTTCTTCTTTTTGTTTTTGCCCGATGTTGCCTCTTGCAGTGATCTTGGATGCGGGTCAGTCCTGGCAATCGAGGCGCCACCGGCGCCGCAGGTGGCGCAGGCAGGATCTTTGGCCCCAACGCTCGAAAATTGAGGTCGACCAAGAGGCAAAGAGTGGACGTGTCTTAAGGCCCCATCTGCCTGTTTGCTGTCCTATTTTGCATGTTGGAGACAAGTGCTCGGCAAAGCCTAGCTTGGGATTGTTAGAGTTCCGGCTTGGGTTGGATCTGAAGGGGCCGGTCAGGTTTCATGGGACAAGGAGTGTCACGCTTGCAGGCGGCTACAAGCAGCTCAAGTTCCAGGCCAGCCGCGAAGGCAGGGGCTAGCTGACGTGGGGATTTGAGGGAGGAAAGGCCTGAGGGACAAACACTCACTCGATAGAGGCACCCAGCAAAAAGCAAAACATGCTCTCAAAGCAGAAAACAAATGTCTTGATGGGTGTCCACACGGGCACACACACACACAAACACCTCAAAACAAACAGCAAGGCTGGCATCCAGAACTGTTTCAGTTTCTTCGGACATCACACCTTTGAGATCGTCCTTAATTTCAGCAGCTGCCCAAGCTAAAATTATGATAGGGCATGCTGCAACATGTTGGCTTCAGAGAAAGGTGCAAAGAGTGACTTGCTCGGCTCTCTTTGGCAGAGCTTCCCCTTCAATTGACAAACACAACCTTATCAAACCCGCTAGTCGGCTGCCTGCTGTCCGCTGCCTACCAAAAGCCAAAACTAACCGACAGGCAAGACACCTATATGCCAGCACTTGACAAGGGATGTCGAAGCACATTCCTGACAAGATGTTGTATGAATCTCATGGCGGTGCGAATTCGTCTTGGAAGAGCAACGTTTCGGATCAAGCCCCATTCTCCAAACACTCTGCTCATCAGGTAGTCACTGGTGGTTTGGATCGGGAGCTTTGTCGAGCTACCCAAAGAGAGCTCCTGACCCATTCCCCAAGCCGCCAGTGATGTTAGCCAGTTCGCCCAGATGAGCGTCCAAACTGCGGGCAATGACGAGGGCTTTGTGCAGACCACGACGGCAAAGCGGGCCACCACTGCCTGCCAAAGGCTGCGGCAATGGCAAGGAGCACTGGTCATCTTTCAAGCGCTGGAGGCGAGCTGTCCTTTCTCTGTTCCGTGGAATTATTCTTGCCTTTGAGTTTCCAACAAACCAGACTACTGCGCAACAAGTTTGGACTTCCAAGGGAGTCACTTGGCAGTGCCCACAGAATGCAACACACGGCTTTTATTTGTCTCCTGGGCTGCAAGCCCACGTTTTTGTTGCAGCAGGCATGGATTGAGATAGATCGAAACATTGATTTTTGTTGACTGCCCGCCTGACTCTATTCTCGTTCCAGGCGCAGCTGCTTGAAAGAGATGTCGTGGCCTATAATTCCACAATCAGCGCCTGGTCACAAGAATAATTTTTTCATGCAGAGAAATCTGGGCCAGCATTTGCTTCGTGCAGCATGAACTCTCTCTCTCTCTCTCTCTTTTTGAATTTTTGCATTGGCCTCAGCTGAAATCCAAGAGCCAACCCTCCCCCTAGCCTACGAGTGACTCCTCCGAGGCGCTCTGCGCCGAGCACTGCGCTGGCAGCAAGCCTTGGACGCCTTTGCGTCAGTGGGGGTGGACGCAGTGGACGCGGCGAGCATGTCCGGGGCCGTGGGGGCGGTGCGGCGGTGGTTCGAGACGCTGGCGCTGCTGCAGGAGATGGGCGCTTTGGCTGTGTGTGGTCAGTGGCAGTGGGTTCCAAGGCTCCCACTTTCGGCCGTGGGTTTGCTTTTGGGAAGGATGAGTTTGAAAACCCAGGCAAATTCTGCTTCAGGGCTCAGACAGGGCTTCGCTGCCAGGAAAAGGTGCGTAGTCAGCAGCACCTACCAGGATGTTGACCATGTTAAGTTAATCGCACTTGTGCTTCGTTTGTTTAGGGATGTTGAAGGGGGTGGATGTTGTATGGGTTGCGTGGATGCTCTTCACGAGGTCTTCAACATCAGTTGTACTTCTGGCTTCCCATTGCAAGAGCATCAGCATGTAGGCTTCTGAATGGTCATGAGGATCGCTGCCACAAAGGAAGTCATTTGTTACATTCGGTGATGTTCTGTTCTTTGCCGATGATGCTGATACGGAAGAGGTTTTGTGGAAGGTGTTCTCACATCAGCCAGTTTCATCAATCATGGCGGGCCAGTCGCGGATGGGTCTTGGTCCGGATTGCCAAATTGCAGAATGGAGCACCTCGCAACATGGACTGGTCGCCATGGGTTCTGGACGCGACTGGCCGCCACTGGGCGCTACCGGGTGCCCTGGTGCCGGTCATTTGCGACTCGTGCGACTCGTGACCCGAGGCACTCGCTGGCGCCTGGCGCCAGATCTCGTGTGCTGCAGTGGCGCCAGCTCCTCCTGCGCCTCGGCGGTGGCTTGGCGCCAGGCGCTAGACCTGCTGCGGGAGACGGAGGCGCGGGGCTTCGAAGGGAGATGGCAAGGGAGGTTAGTTAGTGCGTTCACTTGCAACATGTTGGCGTCTCCGCACAGCCAGAGGTTGCAAGAAGGCAGGGACGACGGCAACTGTAGGGAGACCCAGAAAGCAAACATCACTGGCAACAGAATGGTCGCTCTCCCACGAGCGAAGCAAACAAAGCAACGGCGAAGCTCCGGGCTGACCATTTCACGCCTTGCAGACTTTGGCCAAGGGCCTGTGACAGCTTTGCAAGGTCACATTTGCTTGGCAGCACATTGCAAGGTTAGGAAGGACCTCCCCTCAGAGGTCCCCTTTCATCTCCAATGCGGGGCTCGAACCCGTACCGGTGCAAGCAACTGAACAAGCGCCGATTCGCTCACGCTTGATTTTGTGCCCGGTCGGGCGCGATTTGCTTGCTTGGCAGGCCCAAGCGCTCTTGGTGGACACGGTCCTGCAAAACGCTGCGCCTCGGTAAACCACTGCTGTCCTTACTACAGAATCCAGCTGTCCTAGGCGGACTTGGGTGGGTGTAAGATTCCCTTCCTTTGGCGTCAGCCATCCTGATTCCTGCATTCTTCGGGCCATTCAAGGAGATAGCTCGCCCAACCTTGAACATGGACTATTCTCTTTTGCATTGCAGATCTGAGGTTGATGTTGTGTACACCGTGATTAATCAAGGATTCATCTTGGAAGCTCGCCACACCTGTGCCATGTTTGATTGTGGTTTTTGTTTGAAATGCTCAGATTAAAAACTACAAGCACCCTTGGTGTTGAGACTGCCCTGTGACTGAGATTGCGGAATGTGCCTAAAGTTGTTGCAATGCACATTCAGGATCAGACAAGCCCCTGATTGAGAAGTTTGGCACCAAGTAGATCGCTCATTGAGCGCATTGAGCGGCAGGGTCTGAGTGCTTGCCACGTCTCCCGCTTGGGTGATGCCTTGATGTCACGCAAGTCGGGTGAAGGGCAGCCAGCAGAGAGTCTTCACCCAAGGCCATCAGCGCTTGCGAGAAAGCCGGGCTTTGGCAGCGAGCGCTGCTTCTGTTGGCGGCAATCGAGGGAAGACGCCTGCAGTTCCAGGCAACTCGGTCCAAAATGGGTTCATACGAAAGTGCTGTTGTCAGACTTTTCTTGGACTTGCCCCTTTGAGACTGCTCAAAACCTCTCTCCATTGGGAAGAACAGGCAGACCCAGCCGCCCTGCCTCCCGGATGCCTCGGATGCCTCAGATGCCTCGGACGTGTCGGCAGGTGGTGTCCTTCGGCGCAGCCATCAGCGCCTGCGGCGGTGCCGGGGAGTGGCGCCGCGCTCTGCAGCTCCTGGGGGAGCTGCGGCGGAGGCGCGAAGCTTCGCACGCCGCGCCCGTCGAGCATTGCCCGTCTCGTTCTGGCGTCCGGCAGGGAAACATTTGGGAGGGTTGAGATTGATCCAGGCGGTCAAGACACTGCTGTAGGGAAACGATTAGAGATACAGGAGAAATGCTGGAAAGAGCAGTCGCCCCTGTAGGGCCAGCATTGAAGCCCCCCTCGTCATACGAATTGGGAAGACGGCAATTGCAGGCGTATGGAGCCGAGCCTCGTGGCCTGCAATGCCACCATCAGCGCCTGTGAGAAAGCCCGGCAGTGGGAAATGGCATTGGCGTTGCTGCAGGAGGCCACGTGCAGCCGCTTGGTGGACGTGATCACCTGCAACTCAGCCATCAGCGCCTGCGAGAAGGCCTCCGACAGTCACCAGGCCAGGCCGGGAAATTGCAGCTACGTTTTTTTAAGGTGAGAGGCACCAAGGCCATGGGTTTCTCTCTTTGGGGGTTCTTTAAGCCACGAAGCACATGATGTTAAGCCACCAAGGATAGATGACACACGTTCGCCTGTTCGGGCTCAGCTCTCTTGAAATCTGACCCTCCCGTCCATTTCAAGCCGCCGTCCCATCGCGCCGGAGGCGCTGAGGCTCCTGCGAGAGGTGGGGAAACGGCGGCTGCGGGCGAGCGCGACAACCTACGGCGCGGCGATCAGCGCCTGTGAGAAGGCCACGGAGTGGCTGCCGGCTGTGGCGCTGCTGCAGGAGGCGGTTGTTTCGTGAACCAAAGACGGTTGGGTTTCAGGTGGAAGATCACTTTCATTTGACTTGGACGGTTTGGGGAAAGGTTTTAGGTGCTTTGGGGGGAGGGAGGGTGGGTGGGTCTGGGCGGGTTTAGTGGTAGGGTTGGCTTGGTGCTAGGGTTGGCTTTGTGAAGGCTTGTTTAGGTTGGCTTCGGCGATCCTGACTTGCTAGGGAGCAGTTGGGTTGGTTGGGTTGTTGGTCAGCGGTGCCAGTCAGTCGGTTGATTGGTTGGAATCCTGATGTGAAGCCGGGTTGGATGATTTGGCATGATCCTTCGTTTTGATTAATTTGCTAATGAAGACTCATTTCCAGGATCCGACAGAAACGGCAATGATTCCGGTAAAGCAGGAAGTTGCTTTGAAGTGTAGCGCAGAAGGAAAGCCAAGGGATGACGTGCCAATGTTGAGCCGTGTGTCTAGTGAGGCCAACAGACGCTTTCACGTAGCACGGGACATTTTCGCTGCATCACTGAATCATTGGGTTGGGAGGGTCCAAATATTTCTATTCTTGCCAAGCACTTGGGTCCTGGCTGGACCCTTCAAGCTGGGCCTTGCCATAAGCTCCGAGACTTGGATATTGGAGAGCACCGGTTCGTGCGCTGCTGCTCATGACGGGGTCATGAAATTTGATTGGGAACCACCTCCAAAGAGTGGCGGACCTGAATCCCCACCGGCTTCTGATGGCCACCAAGGGGTCCCCGACAAAAAACCAAGTTTCCATCTTTGAAAGGGAAGCCAGAAAGGACACCGGCCATTGGGGAGGATTTTGAGAACTCATCTCCGTCAGACAGTGGCGGAGCGGCTGAGCAACACCGTCACCTTCAACGCCGCGATCTCCGCCTGTGAGAAGGCCGCGCAGGACCTGCAGGCCGTGGCCCTGCTGCGGCATCTGCAGACTACCCACCAGGCAGCACCTCGCCGGCAGCTTTGGGCAAAGGGTCCCCACCCCATCCCAGAACCTCTAGTAAGTCGCTTCCTTGTTTGGATTGTTTTTGAGGGTGGGCCCCTTGAAACAACAAAGGTACCCTGTGTTGCCCTTGGTCACTGGGGGTCTGGGGTACAAAGGAGCCAGTTTCTGGCCTTTTCTAGAACGGCTCAAGACTCACAACAAAAGAATGGCAGCAATGTGTCAAATTAGATATTGTGATTCTAAATGATATTGCCGTTCTAAATGCTTGCTGGGGCTGTACATATAATATACACAAACTATTCATATACATATGCACATATTATATATATATATATATATATATACGTGTATATGTGTATATATATATATATTTCTTTGTAAAGCCGAAACAAAGTCATCCATCGGAGGACGTGATCAGCTTCAGCGCGGCGGTGGGCGCCTGCGATCGGGCCGGGGAGTGGCCGTGGGCGCTGCTTTTGCTGGCGGAGGCGGAGGGTCTGGTTCCGCTGGGGGACGTGGGCCGCACCTCGGCGGCCAAAGCCTGCAAGAAGGACGCCAAGTGGCGCCAGGCGACTCAGGCACGGAGGGCGAGCCGACCGGGGGTATGTTTTTTTTTGGCTGGTTGACAAGCCCGAAAGATGGTTGTGGACATCTTTGTTTTGCGGGCAAGATTGACAAGTTTGTTTGTCACAGAAAAGGAAAGAGATGACCTTAGCTGAAATTGAATTAGGCGTGGTTTCTTGATGATGAGCAGTCGAAAACCAGCAAGAGCCGCAGAGTGGAGCGACAGTATTCCAGGCCAGGGCCGTGGAAGCACTCAAGATTTCACAGCGTAGAGCCTTTCATATCCCGCCGCCAAAAGCCGCCCTCAACGTCGAGGACTAGTACAAACTCATCATGAGATATCCGAGAGAGGGCTCCAACGATCTGTCCCGTATGAAGGCTCGGCGGTGCAGCACACCCTGCTGGACTCAGATCCTTGCAAGGAACCCACCCCCCTATTGAATCTATTGCACACAAGCCCGCATCTTGTATTGCATTCGTGCTTGCACCTTTCCTCAGCACTGAGGAGTCTTTCAGAACCGACTCTAAAGACTTGAGTTGCCTAGCGTATCATGGGCCACTTCGATGCGTAGCTTGCGGGAGGGGGGGGTGGTTTATGGTGCACCTCGGCAGCCTCCCCCGTCAGGTTCTCCTAGGCGGGCGTGGCTCTCCGGCGCGTGCGGTGTGCAACTGTACGGTGAGTGCCTGTGAGAAGGCCCGGCAGTGGCTGGCAGCCTTGGCACTGCTGGAGGGTGCGGCGGCCTGGCGTGGCTGCCCGGATGTGGTGACGCCTCTTGGCTTTGAGGCTGTAAGATACCATCAATGGGGGCTGGGTAAGTTGGCTGAAACGGCGAACCCTATGAATGGATGTAGTGCCCAGAGAGCCCAAATCTAGCCGATGCGGTGCCTGCGCGAGCTAGGCCAGGAGGCTCTGGTAGAACTCCAACATGACCTCTTGTTTCTGTGTCCTTCAAAATTGAACCCAAGATTTGCTCGGCCAACGCTTCATTCAGATGGAACACACATGCACACGCACAAACACACGCAATCAGCTGAACGCTTCAATTCGTGGAGGAGTTTTCCAGAAGGAATCCACGCAAACAGTACGAAGCAAGCCCAGATCAGGTCCAAAGGGCAGCAATCTGCCGCTTCCGTCAGGTACAGCGCTGCTGTGGCCGCGCTTCCGCATTGGCCGCTGCATTTGCAGCTTTGGTCGGCCATGGCCACGGGAAAGGCGGCCCCGGACGCCGTGACCTGCGAGGCAGTGCTCTGCGCCTGCGAAGGGCCGGGCGCAACACGCGGTGCGGCGCGGGCGGCCAGGCGGAAGCGCAAATTTGTTGGAAGGGTAGTTTCGGCTTGCGAATGTCCGGGTTTTTTAGGGGTGGGGATCTTGTTCTCTGTGTTTCAGTTGGAGTAGGGGGGTCACGAAAAGCTACGTGGCTTGTGCCGTATGGCTTGCAGAAGGAGCAAATGTGAATGGGACAGGTAATCCCTGAAGAAGGCAAGCTGATGCAGCAGATTCTGCGCTTTGCCGCAAGTCGGCACTTCGATTGATTTGACAGTCCAGCATTTCAGAGCCCAGGAGTTGTACGGAGCTTTGCTCACGCTTGGAATACGCCTTTGGGTGCTCGTCACTGGCAGGCAATTGCTGGGACAGCTGGAGACAAAGTATGTGCTGGAGCTCCAGAAAAAGACTGTGCGAAGGGTGGCAGGAAGAGTGGACCGGACCTGAGCGTTATAGTAAATCCAGGCATGCAGGCACGCATTTTGATTTTCCCCTGGAGTGGATCTTGACTTCTTTTCGTGCATGATCTTCTTCCACGTTTGTATCCTGGCCCAGGAATAAGTCTTGGAAGCTGATGATCCACGTATCCGGCCAAATTATTTGTTGGCAGCCAGGTTCCACCTGTGCCCGCCGCGGCCTCGCCCGCAGCGGCAGCGGCGGTGCCAGCTGCACCGGCTGCGGCTACGGCCGGGGCCCTTTGGCAGACTGACCTCAGAGGGGCAAGGCAAAGCACAGACCTACTGTTGATGGACGAAATCCTGCACCGCTTTTGTCATGGGGAAAAAAGCCCTCGCGCTCCCCAGTTAACATTGGAAGGTTAAGGGCCCTTGTTTGCAAAAAAAATGGACTGACCGAAATCCTGCACCACCTTTCGCGAATGCCAACAACATTGAAAAGGGGGAGCGGGGTGCGCAGCCTGTTCAGTGGCAGAATGGAGTTGGCAGAGGTGGTGCAGGATTTCGTCCGTCAACCGACTGAGCTGCTGTCTTTATACAACCCATGCGTGCAAGGCGTTTGCGCTAAGCGCGGCAGTAAGCGCCACATTGAACAGTACAACGCGCGCTACATTGAACACTACATTGAACGCTTATTGAACACTACATTGAACACTACATTGAACACCACATTGAACACTACATTGAACACTACATTGAACACTACATTGAACACTGCCAAAATTGCGCAAATACCAGCGCTTTCAGCTTGGAGCCTTCGTTGAGGGAAAAGAAAATAAAAATGTTTCGATTTCTTTCCAAATTTAGTCGATTTGTAGAAAGTGCGTTTTTTTTTTACGCGATTTTGGTAGAGTTCAATGTAGTGTTCAATGTAGTGTTCAATGTAGTGTTCAATGAGTGTTCAATGTAGTGTTCACTAAGACTAGCGTTCAACCCATCGCTGAATGCAGTGTTCTCCCTCTATGCGCTGGAGCCCATGTTTACTTGGTAGGATGTGCGACTTTCCTGAGTCGTGTTTGAGTTGTTGGCTGGGCAGCCCATAGCCGCCCATGGGACAAGATGATTTGCTAACAGAGCTAACGTGACATATCATGACCGACTGAACTGCTGTCTTTAAACAACCCGTGCGTGCAAGGCGTTTGCGCCACGCGCGGCAATACGCACCACATTGAACAGTGCAACGCGCGCTACATTGAACACTACATTGAACACTCATTGAACACTACATTGAACACTACATTGAACACTGCATTGAACACTGCCAAAATCGCGCAAAAACCAGCATTTTCAGCCTGGCGCCTTCTTGAGGTAAAAGAAATCAAACATGTTTCGAGATCTTTCCAAATTTTCTCGATTGCGGGTTTTGACACGATTTTGGTAGTGTTCAATGTAGTGTTCAATGTAGTGTTCAATGAGTGTTCAACGTAGTGTTCACTAAGACTAGCATTCAACCCATCGCTGAATGCAGTGTTCTCCCTCTACGCGCTGGAGCCCATGTTTACTTGGCAAGTTGTGCGACTTTCCTGAGTTGTGTTTGAGTTGTTGGCTGGGCAGCCCATAGCCTTTGCTAACAGAGCTAACGTGACATATAATTACCGACTGAACTGCTGTCTTTAAACAACCCGTGCGTGCAAGGCGTTTTGCGCTACGCGCGGCAATAAGCGCCACATTGAACAGTACAACGCGCGCTACATTGAACACTGCATTGAGCACTCATTGAACACTACTTTCAACACTACATTGAACACTGCCAAAAACGCGCAAATACTAGCATTTTCAGCTTGGCGCCTTCTTTGAGGTAAAAGAAATCATAACTGTTTCGATTTCTTTCCAAATTTAGTCGATTTGTAGAAAGTGCTAGTTTTTACACGATTTTGGTAGAGTTCAATGTAGTGTTCAATGTAGTGTTCAATGTAGTGTTCAATGAGTGTTCAATGTAGTGTTCACTAAGACTAGCGTTCAACCCATCGCTGAATGCAGTGTTCTCCCTCTATGCGCTGGAGCCCATGTTTACTTGGTAGGATGTGCGGCTTTCCTGAGTCGTGTTTGAGTTGTTGGCTGGTCAGCCCATAGCCGCCCATGGGACAAAATGATTTGCTATCAGAGCTAACGTGACATATCATTACGTATGTTGTCGTTTGCTCATTTATACACAGACTGGCAGGAGTACCAGGGCGCCGTTGTCTCTTTGTGAACTAGTCTGTGCCGACAAGGTCTCCTTTGTTGGCCCACGTGCAGTTGCTTTCATTTTGGGAGCGTTCACAAGGCTTGCCGGGGCTTTGACCACATTCCTGGCTGCGAGTATCATTTTTCAATCCGTGCAGTGGCACGAGATGGCAGAGGTACAAGTCGGTTGTGGTCCAACAGGCAACACTGCGGCATACTGCTACCTTGATTTTGATGTGAAGCAATCCTGTCAAACAAGCATTGAGAGGATAACTTGCTGAACAACGAGCAATTCGCAGGCTCCCAACCTTGGCGAGGGTCCTTGATACTCATGAGTCATTCTAGGAACTCACCCGGGTTGACCCGAGCAGTGTTGCTGCTTTCAAAGAAGTAATAGTCCAAGTCAGGTGGGATGAGCTCGTTCTCTCTTGCGAATGCCTGGTCTACACATGGAAGACAGTAGAAACAATCCACAAGTGCTTTGAAGCAAAAGGTGGTCAGCTTGTCCAGGAGGTGGTTTGCACGGACTTGGTCCTTCCGACCAATCAACACAAACCTGATGTCAACATCTTTGGATCGAGACATTTTGTTCTTTGCATCGCGTACCAAGCATTCAAAGCTTCGGATTGCTATTGGGTTCTTCGGAAGCTTCGCATTGGGAGGCCAGCCGTTTTTAAGGGCCGTTTTGCACTCGATTTTCTTTGCCGCGGGAATGGTTCCCCGTTCAAAAGATCGCCAGCAACGCCCCAAATCTGTCGGAGTCTGGCGGAAGCTTTGGGGAGGATTTGCTTGCGCCAGGGTGTGGCCCCGGCCTCGCCGCTGAGCACGGTCGGGAACTCTGTTCGATTCTGATTTGTTTGCTTGAGAGCATCTTGGTTGGTGCTCAGTTGCTTTGGTGCGAACGTGGCGGATTGGGCAGCTCGACTGGCAGCTTGATTGGATCGATTGCTAGGTCGGTTGGTAGGTTGTAGGTCGACCTGTCAGCCGGTTGGTTGGTTGGTTGGTTGGATTGTTGGTTGGTCAGTCGGTCGGTCGGTCGGTCGGTTGGTTGGTTGGATTGTTGGTGGCCTGAACATCAGTAGAACTCAGTTTCTGGCAGCGACAACAACAGGGCCAAACTTTGAAGGACAACATGCTTTATCGTTTTACTTGATCTAGCAGTCTCGATTGATGGACTGGACGCTAATATATGAGACAGAACGTAGAAGGCTCCAGGCAGAGGGTATGTGTCAAAATTTCCGGCAAGGCGATTGAGACAGAGGCGCGCGGTTTAACATCTGCGGCGCTTTGGGCCGAGGTCAAGAGTGCAGAAGGCTATAGAGTGACTGCGCCTCAGAGCGCGGACAGAAACCCCCTGTAGTGGTGTTTATACATCATCCGATGCAAGACCAGAAGAGGCAATGGCCCAGCTTCTGGAGTCTCTTGATTCCCTTCATGCAGTTGGAGACAATGAACCATTGAACTTCTGAATCGTCCGCTTCTTGTTTCCTATGATTCAGCTTAGCTTGTGAGGCAATCGTCCGTGCGTTTTTGCTTCTTGCCGAGCCGTTGCTGGCCCCCGCCAAATCTTTTTTCTTGTGCTTGCTCTTCCTCCTCCTCCTCCTCCTCCTCCTCCTCCTCCTCCTCCTCCACCTCTTGCTAGTCCTCTGCCCCCTCCGTCCCCTCCTCCTCTTCCTCTTTTTACCTTGCTGCTGCAAATCCAGCAAGTCACATGCCCCAGGCAAGAGGCGGCCGTGTTGCCGCCGGAGGCTTACCAGGCCTGCGGGCTAGCTCGTTGTCGACAAGGTGTGCCTTGCAAATATGATTGTACGTTGCCCGAGGGCCAACGCTATTACTGTCCACACTCATATAATACGTTAACATATTCATTGTAGATCATATAATTATATAATTATATACATATATACATATATATATATATATATGTATATGGTCCCGTGTTCCGTGCTGCTACCCCCCCCCCCCCCCCAATCCATGTGGTCGCCCCCCCCCGGCCCGAGACCCGGAGCCCCCGGATCCTGGCACCTACCCCCACCCTGACCCGCTGAACTTGCACCCCGACACCCCGGCACCCCCGCCCCAATGACAAGCCAACCCGCAACCAACCATAAACCAACCCTAAACTAACCCTAAACCAACCCTAAACCAAACCCCAAACCGTAGACCTCTAAATCAACATAAGCCAACCCTAAACTAACCCTAGACCAACCCTAAACTAACCCCAAGTACACCCTAAACCAATCCCTAAACAATAAACCCTAAACTTAAACCAACCCTAAATAAACCAACCCTAAACTAACACTAAACCAACCCTAAATACACCCTAAACCAAGCCCTAAACCAAACCCTAAACCGTACACCTCTAAACCTAAACCAACCCTAAACTAACCGTAGATACACCCTAAAAAAAAAAGAGCAAAACCAACCCGAAGCCACCGCAACCCAGCCACAGGACCACAACCACCGGGGGGGGGGGGTACTTGTCTGACCCATGACCCTTGCAAAAGGGGCGGGCTGGCAACGCTGTGCTATATATACATATATAGATATGTGAATCGGATAAGGGCCACCGATGTGAAACACACTGTCACACACCCATGCAACCGTTTGGCTCAAGTTCAACTGTTAGCTTAGATCCCTAGCTGATTGCGGATCATAGCTGGCGTAGACATAAAAGATTGAGCTTGCGGATCGAGCGCTGTTTCGAGGATATTCAAACCCCCGCACTCTATCCGAGGGGACAACACATCCAGTGTTGTCAGGGTACCAAAGAAACCTCCTCGATTTCTCAGGTTATCAGCCGTAGGGCTTGTCCCACGTGCTGTGAAACAAAGATTGATTCGAAGCTAGAGGTCTTGAACCCAGCTTCATATTGAATCATTCGATTTATTGCCAAGTGGTACAACACTTACGTGACGATGTCTGATGGGAGATCTTCGATTACGTTCGCGGCACCCACTGCCGCAATATCCGGAATCACCCGGCCATGGGAGTGGAGACACTATCGTTGTGAGTGGGACCCGCGGCAGCTAGCCAGCAGAGTGATGCCAGCATTGATCAGACCATGGGAGCAAGCGCTTCCTCCCGGTCGAGAGTACCGTCAGAAGAAGACTCGTAAAGGGGAAGTCATCCTCCCCAAGGGGTTCCCCAAGTGACCCCAGAAGTGCGGATCAACAACTCGATGATGATTTGCGGAAAGCCCAGAGGAAGGCGGAAGTACAGATGAGCGAGGCTGCAGAGCAGCATGATGAGAACCAGGCACTGAAGGAGGTGTGCATCGTTACGATCATCTGTAAAAGACCTCTCGAAAGAATGAATCGCACCCTGGAATCCCAAGTTGCACATGTCCATGGAAGGATGAAGGATGAGTACAACTTGGCGATGGACCAGCTAAGCATCAGGGCCAACAGGCTGAATGAGCTTGAAGCAATGGCCTATGATTTCAACAATGAGACTCAACAGTTGCGGATGGAGAACGCTTCGTTACGGAAAGCGGTCGAAGCCACCAACGAGTATCGATCCATGGTTAGCTCTCTTCGAGACTCAATGAAACAAGAAGAGTCGACCACGCAGGCCAAATTGAGGGGTGCGGAAATGTACCATAACAACATAGTTACCAACAAAGATGGACAGATCCAAACCTTGAGAAATCAGATACAACACCTGTCCGGGAGCGAGTCGAGGGAGGAACGGTTCCGATCTGCAGAGATCAGAACGCCAAGGCTACAAAGCTTCAGGTCACCAGCAAGGCAAGAACCCAGCTAAGCTAAGTAGAGAACAGCCAGGCTGGAGGTTGATCGACAAAGGAGCCATTTGAACCAAGAAGAGACAGCGGCCTCCAAGAGGGTGAAAAGAAGTATGAGAAGGCGGTGACCAACCTCCGAAACTACGTCGTCCTCAACAAAGCACCAGAGGAACGCCTGCTTGCGCAGTGCGCCGGGCGCTTTCACCTATTGCCTAATGCGCGGCGGTTACTTTATTTCTCATGGAGTGACTCACTATTCTGTCCCGGAGAGCGCACGGCAAAACATGTCAGCTCAGGAGGCAGCAGAAGAAGTGGATGTTGACAAACTCAAGAGAATCGCGAAGGAAGCCGCCGAGAAGGCAAAGGACGAAGAGGACGGCGAAGAACCCAAAATCAGCCCAAGCCGAAGGGAAAGTACAGCAAGTCCCGCAAGACCTTCCAGGATGACGACGGCAACCCCAAAAGGAACGCGAACCCGGAATCGGACCGTTTGGAAGCAATGTCCTAGAGACAAGGTGGAGGGCGAGGTGCGTGGACCGGCCACCTTGGGCCACATGGCCATTATCAGGTTGTTCGGTACTAGGGCCAAAATAACAAGACGGGTGACAAGGAGGCAGGGGCGCCTTTTGCACTCATGTTCCGAAGCATTTGCCTGCTGACGCATATTTCCGGCCTCTTCCCATTATACTTGATCAATGGAAGGCGATTTGGACCAGGGCCCGAAATGGACTCAACGACGACGACCTGCCGCGTACGTATCATGACACGACAATCGAGGAATACGTTGATATGAAGGGCGTCATTCACTTGATGGGATTGTTCAGCCTTGGCCTCTATCCAATATTGGCGGACGGATAATCTTTGGAAGAACCTCAGGAACCTGAAGGACGCTGCCGTCAAGACGTACAAGACTCCCGAATTGCGTGCGTCGAGAAACAACGCTGGGCAAGTTGTTTGATGTTTTCAACGTTGTGATTGGGACCAGCTTCAATGTGGAGACTTCCAATCAAACCTTGAAGGTATGAAGGGCGCCAAGCACATCCCTTTCAACTGGATGTGCACGGCGATGGGTGAGAAAACTACTATCCAAGATCTCCTGTTGATGAACTACCGCGGAATGAAGTTCAGTCCAATTCTTCGGACTCAGTGGGAGAACTACCGCAGGTTCAAAGCACAGGGACTGGCAATTCAGACTTGGACCCCATTGGCCGATGGTGAGGGTACGATTCAACCCAACTATGGACAAAAGCAGAAGGAAGGGATTCAAGCCCCCAGAGTGCTTCGACCCTCATCGGCGGAACGGAAAAAGGCGGGCGAACGATCTGGAGAACCCCGATGCATTAGCCCAGCTGACCGCGATGCCACACCCTCAACCGGACCGCCGAACAAAGGGAAGGGAAAGGGTGACACCAAGGTCCTTGGAGACGGGATGTGCGGGACCGCACACGTGCGTGATACGTACTGGTATGGTGACCACGGCGGATGGGACGAGCGCTGGTGATCAGTTTATCAGCCCAATTCCACACAGTGCAACTGCGTTTGGAAATCGGGATCGTTTAACGAACCGAGAGTACCAGGGAAATCGGTACCAACGGCCCTTGCGTATTATGTCCCTTTGCATATTCCTATTCCTTTCCGTACAAATTATTCAACGTCAAAACAGATATTTGGACAAGCGGCAAAATGGACTCATTCGAGCAATTGCTCTATTTCGACCTGGCGTGGGGGGGGCCCTGCTCATCTTTCACACATGGCGCGCCGTTTCGCGATTTTTTTCTGAGAGCCCAAGGTTAAGGTGCGGACCGGCCGGGCCTCTCGAGGCTGAGTGGGCGAGGAGCTGATGCGCCACTCTTCTGCACCGACAACCGGGTTAGGCAGTGCCGACGTGTCTGCTCTGAGATACGGGGATGACGTTACCGTTCATCGGAGCGTTCTTACCCAGTGTTACCTTTCCCGCTAGGTCAGGTCCAGTTTCCGCATTAATTCAACCGCTGCAGAATAGCAGTGAAGTTCGAGCGTTTCACGACGCGAGATTTTGTAGAACAAACAATCGAGAGCTGACGGGTTGGGTGTGCGTGTTTACATTGGAGTGGACCCTAGGTGAAATGTTTAAGCCTCTGCGCAGATGTCTCAGAATGGGCATACTGCGTGGGGTGTGAATAGGATAAGGGCACCGATGTGAAACACACTGTCACACACCCATGCAACCGTTTGGCTCAAGCTCAACTGTTAGCTTAGATCCCTAACTTTGATTGCGGATCATAGCTGGCGACACAAAAGATCGAGCTTGCGGATCGCGCGCTGTTTAGGATATTTGAGCCCCCGCACTCTTTTCGAGGGGAAAACACATCCAGTGTTGTCAGGGACCAAAGAAACCCCTCGGTTTCTCAATATATGTATAAGGGACCGGGACTGCCAGCCAAAGAGCTACTGATCAAACACAAGGGGAGAACTAACTGACCCGATAGAGCCATTGTTCCGGACTGTCAGATGAATGACTATCAGGAAGAACCTGCAATAGGGCTTATGACCGGACCCGAGCAAGCCGTGTTGAACTATTGCTTGCGCATCCGTCCAGAACTGGCAGGCTTGCACTCTTACAGCATCGACTCATTGCATGCTTCCAGAAGGACAGCAAGCACGTTGTAAGTTCCAGAACTTTGAACAAAATGGGAACCCTTGATTCGTCGCACGCACACACACACATGAGGCATGAGGCCACACCACCACAGGGGGCATCCCACGTGCCCTGACTCATTTGCAGAAAGTATTCAGACAGTTTACATTCTGCTCTTCCATCTCGTTGGGAGCTATGCCAGGTGCGTGCCCAGCAGGCAGCTGCGGCATCCATCGCCCAGCTTATGGCAGAGCAGGAGGCTGCAAGGAGGCAAGAGCCTCTGCAACAACGTGGGTGGTTTGGCCCATTGAAATATGCGCACGCTTACGGTGAAAAGGGGGAGGGGGAGGGGCATAGCTATTGCTACTGAATTGGGGGCAGAATTTCAGATTTCATCCACTGGTCCACCGAGTGCGATGCAAAATGGGTTGCTACATCCACTGTCATGTATTGCAATGGAAAAGAGCGACTGCCATACCCCAAGAGATCCAAGCTTCAGACTGGCAAACCGCTGCAAATTTCAGATGAGGATCAACTGGGAGTGGCCAGGCTGAGCGACAAAGCGCCCCAGTCGCCCTCGACACCTCCCTCCGAGCGGGATCTGAGCTTTGCAGTGGATGCCAGTGCTGGGTCCCCAAGGGTCCGGCTGGAAGGCTGGAAGTGACACACAGACTGTGCCACCGGTACGACTCGAACAGGGCTCATAGCAATAAGGGCTCAAGAATAAGGGCTTGGTTTGAGGTCTTTAGGAGGCAACGTGCGCGTGAAATATGCCCTAATCAAAGGATCTAGTCTATAGGGATGCCCGCCATTCCGTGCGTTTGTGCGTTTGTGCGTGCGTGCGTGCGTGCGTGCGTGCGTGCGTGCGTGCGTGTGTGTGTGTGTATCATTGTATGGATTCACAAGGGAATCACACACACACACATTCTTAATAAAGCGAGGCCATGACACAGATGCAGTTTCGAACTTGCGTAAGTTGGCCGAAATCCTTGCTTGGAGAAAGGCACAGGGGCAGCCTTGTTTGAGCCCACCATTCCTGGGTTCAACATTGTGCAGTCTACGGTTGATCGCAGAACTTCCAGGTTTGCTTAGGATGGGTGTCGGACACTAAGAAAGAGTCATTTGACGTGATTCAGCCATTTTGGAACGACGTGTTTGCCCAGATGGGGATTGTTGTGCAAGTGTTGTCACAGCAATATCTCAAAGACCTTCCATTGATTGGATCCATGGCTGAGCCTTCTGCCCGCTGACCTCGAGGAGTCTGGCAGTTCACTAGTGTCCTTTTCACAAAGCCTGAGAAGACCTTGATGACTCCCATAAGACGGCAACAAAACTTAACTCCTCACAGCAGAGCCACAGAAAAGCTCACTCTTCGCCGTCTCTTGCGTGACAATGATGCAGTTTTGCGGTTGCTCCTTTGGCATCTTGGGCGAAGGAGCAATGAAACGAAACGTAACAACAACGAGCACAAGTCACACAAACAAGGGCATCACGAGCACAACATAACACAAGAAGCAAGATGAAACAAAGCAACACAGAACGGAAGCATCGTTTCCCCGCAAGGCCTTGGGCGGCCAGGGCTTTTCTGGCTTCCCGCCTTTGGCGGGGGCGCCCCCGCAAGACCTGCTGGGGGTCCCAGTCTTCCTGGGTCCGGGTTTGGGGGGTGGGGCTGACGGAGGTTGGCTGGGTTCAAGAGGCTTCCAGAGTCGCAGAAGTCGTCGCTTAAATTTGTTCCTCGGTTGACTTTTCGTTCCGCGTCCGGCAGTTGGTTTGTGATACACGAAGGTTCTAGGAGCTGGGCTTGATTTCAGCCAAGAATAGGGCTGCAACGTCCCAATTGGCCATCAAACATCATGTATTTGTTTGTCATCAATGCCCAACAGTCTGACTGCGGCTGCTAAGCGCTTCTGGAGTCACGGCATCTTCATGCTTGAGGTGGTTGATGCAATGCTGCAGGTGACACTGTAGCATTAAGCCATGGGCTAGCACAGTCTAACGACAATCATAATGATTGAGTTAGGCACGTAGCAGGGGCAGTTGTGTTCTCAATCTTGCCCAGACTTGGCGGAATGTCTTGGCGTGGATCACCGGACTGAGTCTGCTCGCTGGTTCCTCTGCTTGACCCCTGGTTTTACAAACCCGGCCGCTTGCAGGCTGCTGCAGCTCGCGCAGAGCCAAGCGAAGGTGCCGTCAACTTTGAGCTCCTGAGCTCGGGTTTTACGCAAGCGTGCCCAGGTTGTCAGTGTCAGGAATAAACGAGAGGTCACGCTCTTGACATAGGGCGGCTTTGCCATCATGTGAAGCATTTGGGGAGGACCTTGCTGGTACAGAAAGCCTTGTCAACGTACGACCGATTGGTTAAAAGAAAAGAACCACCAATGGCTCGGCTACGGCAGGGATCTTCACAAAGGTTGAGTATCCCGTCCAGGTGCGCCACCTGGAGCTACAGCTGGAGGCGGAATTTGCGGATCGTTCGTTCGGGGAGGTGAGGCGGTTCTTTGAACCGCCGCTCCCTAAAAGGGACGACCCCGCGAATTCTCAGCCAGTCAAGGGGAGCATGGCTCGTGTTTTCTACCGAGGTTGAAACACTGCTGGAAGTCTGGAAGTTGGCCTATGGTTGAAGAGAAGGAGTCACCTGACAAGAATGCTTCGTCCGTTCGACCAGTTGCTGGCTTGGCGATTTGTTCCTACGCCTGTGCAATCCTTGTTGCTAAGCTCCGATGGAAGCAGAGTGACATGCCAAAAAATGACAAATCAGCCTGGAGCTGTGGGTGCCATTTTGTTGCAAATCGCTGGTGATGTGTCTATGTCGACTTCTTGCTGAGTGCCGGCTTGGCTTCTTTTCGGTATTGGCGTTCGGAGTGGGCTGTGTCTTCTGGGGCAGCCGCCCAACATCCGTCTGGTCTGTGAGCACACGCCCGGAGCCCAGCACGAGCTAAATGCCTCGGGCAGGCATTTGGAGTGTCGTTGAAGCCCATGTTGGGCCAGAACGCTTCCGGCAAAGTGCCCTCCAACGCATCAGCTTTAAAGATCAATTTGAAGGACTCCGAATCGTGGCGCTCTACCACATCAGAGTGGGTCCCGCAAAGGTCAGAAGGCCTTCCATATTTGTGGACTCACATGGCCAAGTAGCTGGTTTGCTCAACGAATTGACTGAAGATAATGCTATGAAGATGCAGTTTAGCCCAAACTTGGCTGATATGGTGGTGCTTCGCGATCCATCCTTACAAAAGCATTCTCTGCAGCTCATTGCATGGATCGCTTCATAACCTGCGTACATCTACAGACTTTCGAAACTTCCAACACGGGCGGAAATTGGTATCCTGGAGTCACCGAACGACAAAGAAGACAAGCGTTGGAAGAGCCAGCCCCAATTCTGTCGCCTGCACCATTTTTACCCCTGGTGCCAGGAGATAAATGCCCCCAACAACAAATCAACCAGTCTGACGCGGTGCTGCCTTCCATGTCGAGAGGCGTCACCAGGAAGGCAACAACCCATCGCTGTTCATGAATTCACTTGGCCGAACCTTGCAAGGGCAAGCATCACCGCACACAGTGCCACTCTCACCACCAACATATTCGATGAGCTGACCCTGAAAGAAAGCGCTGACCCTGTAGGCACGTGACTATGAGCTTTTCGGCCTTTCCATGCCTTCCTGTCATGCAGGGTATCCTCATGTCAGATGGTCTCTTGGAAATGATGCCTAGTCGACAATGCTGCCACGTACGTAGATGACCAAAGTGCAAAGTGCAGAGTATATACCTGCTTGCAGATCTTGAGCTTCCTGCAGAGAAATAGAGCCTGCCATGACAGAAAATGACAAACAACACAGAATCTGTCGCGGATCGCATGGTAAATTGTGGCCGAATGGCAAGCAGCGGCTCGTGTTTGTGTCCAACTCATCTGGAATGCAGAACGTCTCCGTGACATGAACGTGCACAATGTGTTTTGCAGGAACGTGTTCACAATCCAGACATAGCAGCCGCGCTCTTCCTATTTTGAGCTCCATGCGACCTGTGCTCCTGGGAAGTCGGCCATTCACAGCACGAAGTGCGCAAAGTGAGAGATGGGAACTGCTGGCAGCGCTCCTGATCTTCGCATTTCCTCATGGCGCGGTGTATGCAGAGTTTGTTTGGGATGGGATTTTAGTAAGTTACTTCAAGTGGGAGGCCTTTGTTGTGAGACGGGATTGCAAGCTGCAAAGCTGTTCCCTCCTTCCCCTTGGGCGGGACAGCGATGCCGGGCGATGGGCTGCTGAGAAATCACAGGGCCACTTGGACAGCCGTCAAATGACGGCAGCATTCAAGTGACCCCGACTTTGCATGGCAAGACCTATGCCATCCTGAGAGGGCATGAACCGCCAGGACAACGAGCAGCGGTGGCAGAAGCGCTTTGAGGACGCCAAGCGCCAGGAGGACGCCGGCCACGCTCGTCGGGCGGCCCGGTTCCTCTCTCGACAGCCAACGGATACTTTCTATTCTATCAGCTGCCCCGGTTGTTTTTGGGAGACATCATGACAAGCTACATCTCTGACCGAGTCATCTCTGGTGGAGTCTTCTAGCAGTGATTCTTTCTCTCTCTCTCCCTCTCTCTCTCTCTCTCTCTCTCTCTCTCTCTCTCTCTCTGGAGTTGCGCTTCTAGGGACAATCAACCTTTTGCAGTTGCAGTCAAGAGAACAGGTGCGAACACGAACTTGGTGGGTTCCCCCAGAACAGGGCCGCCAGGGGCTTTTTTTTGTCCAGCCCCAGCCCTTAGTCACACGAGGCCGTCTTGGGCCAAGGCATGGAGCTGCAGTGCCGGTATTTGGAGGCGGAGCTGGACCGTACCAAGGCGCCGGGCTGTGGGCTGGAGCTGTGGGAGCCGTGAGAGAAGGCGAGGGAGTTTGCATTGCTTTTTCAACACGGGAAACTCGCGGCGGAATTTTGTGGGACGGGCAATTTCATGTTGCCACATCCATGCAAGATTATTTGCTTGGCACTTTCTTGTGTCTCTTTGTTGTTCTGGGCAAACAAAAAAATAAGGCATTGTAGGATGTTGGGCCTCGAGGCATGATCCAATCACCAATGAGATGCAACAGACGTGTTTGAACATGTGTCTATGAGTTCTTCCTTCTTTCCTTCCTTCGCTTTCTCTGTTGCTTCTGCAGGAGGTGCACGCCAGCGAGCTGCGGCACTTCCAGGAGCAGAAGCGCCTGCTGACCCAAGGCCGGTGTTCCGTTCAGCGGAGCTAAGTGGGTTGGGTGAACGGCGACAGGCGCATGGGAACGAGCTCGGAAGATATTTTGAGATACGCCATGGGACAGCGTGCGTGTTCTGAACACCAGTTGGTGGATCAGGCCAACAGACGGAGTTGGAAGATGCCCGGCGGGAGGAACGACGCAAGGCGAGGCAGAGAGTGGTATCGCAGAGTGGCGGATGTAAGAGCATGAGAGAAAGACCAGGGGGAGCACGAAACAAAAGAAGCAGAGCCAAGCATGTGAGGAAAGCCACATTCTCGATCTTGTGAGTTCAACACACGGTCTTGCATCCGCCTGTGTTACAGCCATGGGGTCACAAACAAATTGAGTCAGTTCGCATTCACTTTGCTTTTGCCCTAACATGCGAACAATGAAACACGCCTGCAGGATGAGACAGAGTCGTATCACAGGATGTATTTATGTTTTCTTCCAGTGGCAAAGGGCCACTTCAGGAGCATATTTTGGTTCGCCTGTGCCTGCCTAACGTTGAAGCACCACCCTAGGAAGCCAAGCGAGGAGTTTCGATCAACTTTTTACCAATTTAGTTCGGCTACAAGCTATGAGATTAATGGAGAAACATGCTTCGACGCGAAATGCTTTCCAGTACCCTACATGTAACATCACACCGTCGGCACATTCATGTTCAGGTTGTCATATGTGTTTGCAGAATTCTTGCTGGATTTCAGGCCCAAAAAGCTTTCAGGTGCAGATGGAGCTGGACAAGGCATTGATTTGAGGATGTTCGGGGGACCGGCAGTTGCGGGTGGTGTGGCTGGATCGAGGATGCGAGTCGTGGTGACTGCGGATTTGCTTGATCTTGCCAAATTGAGGGCGCAGGGGTCTGATTTGTTTCAGTGAGGATTGCCAGCAACCGCCTTTTGTCCAAAAGGATCTTTCCTGCCAAATGATTGTGCCACAGGTTGCCACAGTCCAACACAGGAAGCATGGCCTGAAGGGACAGATATATAGCTCGGTCACAGTCTGGATTTTCGCTGGACGTCCGTGCGGTCTTGGATCTGGCCAGTCACTACTAGGCTCACTCGGAAGCAACTTGGTGTTCCTGCCTGATACTCTGGCAGAATTTCCTAGCAGCATAGCCGGTCAACTTTCATTTGGACAGGCAGTTGTGGCTCTATGTTTTGAGAATACAACACACTGTGAGGCCAGAAACCTTTTGGTGGATCTGCCACAAGTTGTTTGAGATGAGAAAGGGCTGGATCAGCTCGTGAATGAGATGAGGAGACCCGGGCTGGTACATGCCACTATGGAACACAGATTGGTTCCTTGAGGTTTGCAGGGACAGTTTTTGGGAAACCGTGGCAGTGAGGTAACTAGTTTTATGTTCGTTAGTTGTTTGAGGCAGCCCCTCTTCCCTAAGTCATATTTGTTCGAATAATTTGAAACATGATGAGATCCAAATAGACCTTCGAAGTGATTCTCCATGTGCACATTTTGCACAAGCATCGTCAAAATGTAATAGGCTAGCTGCCGCACAAGAATTGAGCAAGCATTCTTCGATGTATGGGCAACTGTGATGGAATTCTGAGGCTAATGAGGCTTCTAGAGCGCACCGCATCGAAGAAGCTGCGCCTTTTTCTCCAGGTGAAGGGGGACCACCACCTTGAGCTTGAGGCGGGCGTTGTGGAAGCTCTGAAGCGGAACCAAATGACCACGACTTGATTTAAGACGTTGGGCATGTGTATTTGTTCTGCGTCCGTTGGTGGTTACCTTGGGGCAAGGGCGGCAGCCGAATATGTAGAGTGAGAAATCGGCTTTCTTGGACTTAGGGCAATGGCACTCTTTGAAGTGCACAGCTGGCAAGAGCATCAGTTTGTTGCAGTTTTGTGGGAGGAGCGAAGAGATACCTTTAGCATCATTCACTCTCTCTCTCTCTCTCACTCTCGCTTGCTCGCTCGCTTGCTCGCTCGCTTTCTTTCATCACAGCAGTTTGATGCGACTCTTTCAAATCAAAACACTGACTGACACAACGACTGACTCACCCAACCAACCGAGTCAGCTGCCCAGTCGCAGCTCCGAACGTCCAGTTATCCAAAAGCACAGCAAGCGGACAGCTCTTCCCCATTCTCCGCTTCGCCCGCCTTGCCCATCGCGCCCCGATGCGAAGTGCCAGGAGCTGAAGCGCCGTCACGAGCGCTCGGTTGCCATCCTGAAGCAGCAGGCGGATGCCGAGGCGCGGAAAGTGCGCAGCGACAGCTGAGAGCTCCCGAAGATTGTGTCTTTAGGTAGTCTCAGGAACTGTTCGCGGCTCGTACTCAAGGAAGTTGCCGGGAGGATCAGCCCTGAGCGAGGGGGTGAGTATCCGGGGACGAAGGACAGTTGCCAACATTATCAAGTTGCCGCACTGGCTCTCCGTGAGCTTCAACCAATTTGATCCACAGCTTTTCGTGCCAACCCAAATTCGCTTGCAGCTTGCTGAAGAATGCGACTGCAGGCTTCCAGGAACCGAGTTTGATCATTTCGCTTCGAACCGTGCTAGACCACTTGTGTTGTCCAGAGCATGTCTCCACGATGGCGCCCAATACCAGAATGGCATTGTGCAAAGCCCTTTAGAAGACGCTGTATTGATCTCTACGGAAGGTTCGCGGTGTGCGTTCGGGCAGCAATTCTTGAATCTGTGGTACTTGATAGGAAGAAAAGCTGACCCATGCACTTCCAGTCAAGACCGATCAAAGTCAAGACGCATATCTGACTCCTGGCCGCGACGTGCATGGACTTTACAAGGAACTCTCCAAAACTATTGAGATGCCAAAGGACTCGTCTGTTTCTTTGCAGTTCTTGTTGAGGCGGAGAGCCTGCGGCGTGCCCACAGTGAGAACACTCACCTCACCAAGCTGGTGGAGCAGGCGTGCGTGAAGCGTCCGGCAAATCTGCCACTCGTTCATTGCTGTCATCGATTCGGATGAGGGCCCGAAGACGTAGGCAGGGTGTCTAAAGGCTTCGGATTTATATAGTGAATATTTGCAGTGCTAGAAATGAAAACGGAATGAAGATTATTTGAGAACACTCAGGGCGTAGGTCAGGGGATTCTTCCAGGTTGGATCCCATGTAAGCTCCAATCACAGCGACTTGCATGGGGTCATCCCCTCAGGTGCAGGGCTCTGTGGCCGAGGTGGAGCGGCTGAGCAGGGGTGCTCGGAAGCCTTTCCCAGTTCTGTTGTCTTTGTCAGCTGGGCTGTGCGGCTGGAAAGCGATTCAGCTGGGTTTCGGGGACCTGTAGGTGGGCGGGTGGGCTGCCTGGCGCGGTAGAGTTGGCCGAAGGGTTTTGGCCGCGGTGGGTCATAGGTAGCACAACTGACTCAGACGGCTCATACACTACCTCATTTTCCTCGCTGACATCGTGCCGCAGCTCCAGTGCGCCTTGAGGCAAACGTGTGGACACGGACAAGACGCTGGAGTGGCCAGCCCGAGCAGAAGTTGATGAGTGCTTCCGCTTGTTAGCACTGGGTAAGGTGAGCAAGTCTAAGGCTCGCAATTAATAGGAGTGTTTTTTTGAATCCTGTGCAGTTGAAGATCAGGCTCATGTCCGTTCGGTCGAGAAGAGGCGCTAAGCTAGAGGCAAACATAGGCAAAAGACACCAAGAATGGCATCTCAGCGTTTGAGCATGGACTCTTTACGCCAGAATGGGCTCTTTGTGATGATCTGATCATCCAACTGTGTTTGTTGCCTCTTCGTGCTTCTCGCACTTATCTTTTATTTTTGTTTACACCAGACCACACATCTCTGAAGTGCCGGATTTTGTTTGTGCCTCCTATTTGAGAACCACTTTTTGGATTTCTGAAACGATCATTTTTGAAGAGCCAGACTACAGAGACTACAGTCTGCTCGGTCTGCTCGGATAGATCCTGATACTTATCATGTATGCAGGAAAGTTCATGCGAGAGGCCCAGCTTTAGTAAATTGTCACTGCCCTGTTTTCCTGCTTTTGCTTTCGGACATCCGTTGTTGCAATGCCCAACGCTTGCCACCTAACCTGGGCGCTTCTTCGTTCCAGATACCTCCAGGGCTGAGTGAGGGCAACGTTGGAGTGAACTGTTCAAACACCAGCGAACTGAGCCTTTCGATTCTGTCATCCAAGCAACTTAGGCTGAGCCGATTCAGACAGCAAAGAGGCATCCCTGCTCTAAGCCACAGAATGACGTGGCAAAGTGGAGCACCTTCTTGTGTGCTGTCGCGTTTTAGGGAAGTTTGCATTGGGGTCATATTTGGGGCAATGTCTTGGGGGTTCCCAACAACCGAGTTTTACAGACGGTTGGGGTTGCCAGGTCGGTGCGGGAGCGGCAGCTGGAGGCCCGGGAGCGGAGCGCCAAGGAGCTCGAGGTGCGTCCCGCGCGTAGCGCTCGCGGCTGGGAGGTCGTTGCAATTACCGGGTCAGTGTGTTTGGAGGGACCCAGGAATCCGGACGTTTCCCCTGAACACCTCACCCCTACCAAGGGAGCCTCACCAAAGAGGCGATGCTTGAAACCAAGCAAAACCTCCGCAAGCTGAAGGAGTGGTAGTGGAGGGGATCAATGATTCTGTTTCCAACCAGGTGTCTCACGGTCAACGTTTCCCGAAGGATTGCCAGGGGCGAGTTGCATTCCCATTTGGCAAATTCGATTGACGGGGCCACCAGACATGAAATTCAGTGTTGCACCCTCCTATAAAGGGCTCAGGCTCATGGCATGCTTCAAAATCCACGGCCGGCTGGGAGCAGTCCATGAAATGACCATCATCCAAAGTGTACCCGGGGACAAGTTTAGGAGTGTTTCCCTGGACTGATTTAGGAGTGTTTAAGACTGCTGATCTGAGTCTGATCTGAGTGCGTGTGGTGCACACGCCGCCTGTGCAACGGGCTGCTGAGACGGAATGCAGGGGTGCACGATGCCAACTTGCAGCGCATGCGCTCCTCTCTTTCTTTCTTCCTTTCTTTCTTTCTTTCTTTCTTTCTTTCTTTCTTTCTTTCTTTCTTTCTTTCTTTCTTTCTTTCTTTCCTTCTTTCCTTCTTTCCTTCTTTGTTTGTTTGTCTGTTTTTTTTTTTTTTTTGGTTTTTATTAAAAAAAAGCAAACAAATACAAAATCAGTTATTGCTTTATTTCATATTGTATTAAACAAGGTTCTGTAGACATTTTTGCGGCTTCGTGCTCTTGTGTGCATGCCTGTCGATTGGTGTGCCTGTTGCAAGACGTACGGGTATTGCTGTGGGTGAGGTGAGCTTGCTCACATGAGCAACAAACAAGCATTCTAGTACCTGCTTGGGCATTATTCAACACAGTCAGCAGCCGTTCACAAGTAAATGAAGATAGGGAGATTACAGATTTGCTGATTTGGCTAGACACTCGCCTGGCAAGCTCTCTGAACCAACCTGACTATGCATTTTTCGGAGTTGGAGCCACCTCGCAAGCGGCTGGTGGAGACGAATCACCACCAAATTCCGATGTTCACCAAAGGCTCCCCCATAAAAAATGCACGCCAAATTGTGGGTTTTTACCCTTTGGTTTTCCCTTCAAACCAATCCCAACAAGGGTACCCACGTGACAGACCCACTGACTCACGGATTTTTTCGTGAGGCGCAGCTGCAGCGGCAGACCAAAGAGGTGGAAGAGCAACGCCGGCGCCTGCGGCTGGGCCAAATGGAGCTTCTCGTCAGTCTGGTTTGTTTGTTTGTTTCAAGTTTTGGACATTGGCAAACAGGTTGGCAGTACTTGGCCTTCAGGCCTCCAGGCTGGGCAGGTTGGCTTCTAGCCTTGCAGTCTATAGCCTTACCCGCAGTTTGCACGCAAAGTAAAGGCGGCCAACAGGAAAAACAAATTTAAAGTGTCGCCCAAATTAGGGTAAGTTGGTATTTTGCTTGCGTGGCTGCTATGGTCCATCCAGAGCAGAATCAATAAACAGCTTCCAAGCGAAGAAATGTGGTTTGGGTAGTTTCGGCATCAAAAGAGTGGCATATTGCGATTGAGAGGTATGTGAGCAACTGATGGTGCTTGAAAGCTAAGGTTGGGCGAGTGGTTGGAACACTTGCCGGCCTTTAAAGCCAGGACCATGTAATCCGATTAGCCAGGTACGAGCTTGCATGTTCGTTCCACGTCGCCGGCTGCTTTGAGTTCAACGAAAAGTCCAGCAGTCAACTTCCGTCCTTGGCTACCCAGTGTTCAAACAGATCTACGGGGATCTACGGGGAGTGTGACTCCGCGCCAAGTCCGACCACACCCGCAAGGTCGGAGCTGGTGCAAAACCTGCAGAGCCGCCAGGTGCGGCTCATGTTTGACGCGTGCGTTTCAGCCAATGGGGATTGAACCTTCCCCCCACGCGTTGAATTTTCAAGGAAACGAGCCCTGGGTGGCATGCCCCTTTGATTGTCAAAGAAACGAGCCCCGGGCCTTCTTGCGGCATTGTCGTCAGTTTGAAGACTATCGAAATGCGCGACTTCTCCTTTGTCCTTGCGAGCCTCTGGCAGCAGAGTTTTCGGATTGCTTCTCCTTTTGGTTCTTATATGTACAGACCATCTCCTGCTTGATACTGCACATGTATGATAAAGTCAATGTGGACAATGCCGCAGGCAACTCTGTGATTGTGGCACCTGCAAATAGTTGAAAGCAATGCCAACCTTTGTCCACGGTGCTTGTGAAATGGCAACATGAGAGATTGGACTTGTCTTTGTCCTTCTGTGCAGGGTGCGCTACTGTTTCAACATCTTGGGATATGGGGTAATTCTGTCCCTGGGCCCTAATTCCAAGATCTTGGCATTTCCTTGGAGCCATGTGTTTCAGGTGCTTTCCATCCCTGGCTTTGTGCACCTTTGGCAGGAGGATGACACTGAAGCGCTGGCTTCAGAGCGGCAGAGGCTGCAGGCCAGACCGGGGTTGACATGGCTGGCGCGTGGCGCGGTTTTGCGGAGGCCGTGAGGTGTGCGGGTGGCATTGTATGTAACGTCTGGACGTGGCAAAACTGACATGATTTCATGTATTTGTCCAACATATGCGTGCGGGATCCCGAAAACTGCAAAGCTGCTTGGGCAGATTTGGGAACTTATTCTCAATGAAATCGGCTAAGTATTGAGGGAAATTGACACCCAGGCTTTGCACTGGAGCCTTACGCTGTTCTGCACTTGGACCGTGGCCTTTTTCTGAGTGCCGGCAAGCATTCCGTCATACAGGGCTGAGCATTGAAGCCGTTGCAGCCTCTTGAGCCACTGTCAAATTCTTATCTGTCGACTTGAACACACGTGCACACAGACAAAGCAAACAAGCCTATCTACCTTCATCCATTGGCTGCGTTGCCTACTCTGAGCCTGTAGAGTTGTGGGTACTCAGGATTTGACTTTGCGAAGTGTGCTTGAACAGAGAAACTCGGTCAAGTCTTGCCAGACCTTCAGGCAGATGACTAGCTTCTTTGATCCATCGGTAAGATGATGTTCCACTCCTGGGCCAGGTGGTTAGAGGAAACCTGTTGTGAATGGACCAATGGTTGATCAAGCATGTTTCCCTTTTGGATGAGGATCCTTCACTAGTTTTGAGATCTTGTGGAGGTAGGCATCTCCCGTTCTACCTTTTTCATGTCGCAGTTTTCTCTGCTTTGCCTTGCTCCCTCCCATCCGGATATTGCCTCAAAGCATGTGATCCTTGAGGGTTCCCCCGGCCCGCGGCTCCGCCACCTCACCGCCTCACCGCCTCTCCGCCTCTCCGCCTCTCCGCACGCTGCAGCTGCGAGGCGGAGCATCAGCGCCTGTTGGAGCTGCAGCAGAGCGTGCGGGAGGCGTCTGGGCAGATGGGATGCGATTGAGGCTGAGTGGCTAGATGTGGGCTGAGTTGGCCGGGAACGGTTTGCATGAGTTGGACTAGTGAAAATCACGATGAGTTTGACCGTTGGGACGTATGGTTTTGAGCAGGGTAGCGCAGCGGATGGCAAGCCGGCTGGTTTGTAGGTCTGTCGGAAGGCATGGTGGGCATGGTAGGACTTTTGTGTATTGGGTCTTTCCCCAGTTGCATACTCTCCATGTGCAGTTCCAAACTCTGGAAAGTCATCATCCAGCTTTGCAATAGTTTACTGCAGCTGGAGATTCTTGTGGATGAGCAGCCTCTGATTCTTGGCATACCCGAATTGCGTTTCACAGATGTCCGAACGGTATCGAATATGCGATGCCGAAAGGTGCGTCTCATTTTGCAACTTTGGCGAGGTATGATGTCAGACTGCTGTTGCTGCAGCATGCCGCAGAAACAAACTTGGCGATTATCAGCCAAGAGGATCGCGTCGCCGTATCTTGCCAAAAGGTGTTGTGAAGCGTAGCAGTCACAAACCTTGTCCGTTGCACTTTAAGCATTCTCCAGTGTGGGTGAATGGAAGGAGCAAGTTTCTTGGCTGATTTCCGGCATGAAACCTTGAGCTCCGTGGGAACAAGGTGACCATTCAAATCCGGGCCAAGAAGTCAGGCGGACAGAAACAACAAGGAGGCGCTGAAGCACACCTGGGCGCAGGCGGGAAAACAGACACCAAGCTCGGTCGATCTGAGTGAACAAGATCATCAAAGGGTCACGTCCACATTGGGTTCAAGGGTTAGATGAAAGCCACCATCAATGGACAACACAAGTCAAACCTTCGATGTTGAGCAAGCGATGGGTTCGGGTGAGTGCTGAACTCGTGCAGGCAGAGGAGGACCGCCGCAGCCTGCAGCAGGAGCAGCTGCGGTTCGACGGGGAGCCGCGGGCCTGGCCACGGGATGTGTCCTTTTTATGATTTTGTTTTTGTTTCGTTTCTCTGTTTTCTTTTGTTTCTCTGTTTTGTTGTTTTTGTTTTGTTTTTTGTTGTTTGATCTTTGTTTTGCACAATAATACTTTGCTCGCCCTGCAAGCAAGCCGCGCTTTTGATCCTCCATGCAGTGGCAAGCTTGGTCTGCCTTTGCTGTCCAACTCTGAATCTACTGCCTCATGCTGTTGCATGTGCAATATCCCGAGGCAAACCGCTCGCAAGGAGGAGCTGGACATGCAGGACACCTGCTTGCAGATTCATAGCATCATCTTCAAAACAATGGGAATGATTCTTGTTTTAAGAGCGGTGTGGATCAGAGGTTTCTTACTTGGGGTCTGACAGCTTCTTATTTGGTCTTGCAGTCCTGGTGGATGTGATGCCCTCATACAATTGAGATGTCAGAGAAAAATCACCAGTTCCCAGCGTGAAGGCAGGAGATGGATGAAAACAGGCAGCATTTGAGAATGCCTGCAAGTTCTTGTTGTCTGCAGCGCGTCATGCAGTGAAGTTCACCGGTGGAGTTGGGACGGAACGCTAGGAGCGGCAGCTAAGATCCGAGACGGAACGCCTGAAGGCGTTGCACCAACAAATCGAGGCGCTGTCTTGGGACATGAACAAAACCTAACCCGAAGAAGCTGTTTGCAAAAAATAGCCTCTGCAACAACAAATAGCCTCTAACATTCTGCAAGGGGGCACACCATCCGCAAGGGGGGATTTAGATGCTGGGTTGGTGGGCGGAAAGGAGCCGGGGGGCGGAGGGGGAGGAGGGGAGAAATGCGCAAGTCTTGCGCTCCTATAGCGGGGCTTTATCAAAGTAAGATTTGGGTCTTGAAATGGAAACAGTCTCCAAGTTCCATGTTTGGGATTGGGAGTTTGGGCGTTGGAGAAGAAAATTGGAACGTCGCCGAGAACGCTGCTGAGCAGAGACAATGAAGTGATGATGCAGCGAAGAAGCCAGGGACCCACGGAAAGACACCCACCTTAATTTCTGGTGTCCAGTTGGGGTTGGCAGCAGGCTGGGGCATCTGATGGTGCAGGCACTAGATATCCTGTACAGGTGGCATATCGGCAACACAACCAAGAGAATTCATAGCACCTATGTTGATTTGCAATGGCCAAATAAACCAAGGGTTGCAATTGCCTCCTTTGCGACCTTGGGAGGTGTCGCGACAGAATGCAGCGCGGCGCATCCGCGAGACGGAGACCACCGTGGCAAACGAGCGCCGGGGGCCATTGTGTCGGGCGGAAGTAAGGAGCCCTCAGAGTGCGCAGAGTTTTACTCGTCTTGAACACATATTCGCTGGAATCAAATGTGAGAAGGGGGGTGCAGGCAATCTCTGTCCCTGCCTTACACGGGTTTTCTTTTAAATTGATTGTCTTTTTGCTGTGCGTTTCCTTGTTTCTGTTTTCCTTTCTTCTTTCCTTTCTGCTTCCTTCCTTCCTTCCTTCCTTTCTTTCTTTCTTTCTTTCTTCCTTTCTTCCTTTCTTCCTTTTCCTTTCTTCCTTTCTTCCTTTCTTCCTTTCTTCCTTTCTTCCTTTCTTCCTTTCTTCTTTTCTTCCTTCTTCCTTTCTTCCTTTCTTCCTTTCTTCCTTTCTTCCTTTCTTCCTTTCTTCCTTTCATCCTTTCTTCCTTTCTTCCTTTCTTCCTTTCTTCCTTTCTTCCTTTCTTCCTTTCTTCCTTCCTTCCTTCCTTTCTTCCTTTCTTTCTTTCTTTCTTTCTTTCTTTCTTTCTTTCTTTCTTTCTTCCTCCTTCTCCAGCTTTTTTGCACAGTCCTCCTCAGTCTGAAAGAGACGTGATGATCTCCTTGAAAGTATTTCGTTTATCAAGCAATGCGGGAGTAGCTGAAATTTGCTATGCCGCTTGAGCTGATTCGTCATGCATTTGGATCAGCCATTGGGTTAGCAATGCGTTTGTTCAGGTCCCTATTGGCTCAATAACACACACACACACACACACACATCAAGCCAGCATGTTGATTGCGAGTCATAGTGATGCATTTCAATGAAGGCTTGCATTCTGCGACTCAACCAACTACAGTTAGCCGCTTGCCGAAGATCAACTGATTCAGCAATTCGTGAAGTTGAAAGGCACCGACTTTGCCAAAACCACCCAAGCAGCGATCAAGCAAGCCAGAGCAGAACATATTTGCACAGTGAAGCGCCAGTCACACAACACCAACGGAGCAAGCTTGCAAACATCTATTCATCAGATATGTTTCACGCACTTGTGGTTGTTTTATTCCCCACCTGACTCCCATGGCGTCGGCCCCCGACGCCATGGGCAGCGGGGCCTACGTGGCTGAGCCCTTGGGCACGCTGCTGGCGGACGGCAGCCGCTGGGGTGCCTTTGAGCCCGAGAAGGCCCAGGGCAGCTGGGTTCAGGGTTCCACTTTTGGACTGCCCCAAGATAAAATCATAACTCAGGGGTGCTGGTCCTTGTGGAGGGTAATTGGGAAGCCAGACAACCTCCAAACCACCGATTCAACTTGCCAATTGGAGGAGGCAAACCAAAAGGGAACCCACCATCTTGGAGGTTCCGATTCCGATTTTGAGACGAATCCACTTGTGAGACGCGGATGACAGCATTGCCAGCCGCCACCCTTGTGGAGATAGAGAACGCAAGACATCGCGGCACCACAAGGATGCAGCTAGGGTTTCAAGCTTCAGAGGTTCTGCATCCAGACTAGAAAAGCGCACCCTTTTCCCTGATTGCAGGCAGAACAAGACTGAAGCTAGGGCTTCAGAGCACTGGTTCTTAATCAGATGTTGTTGAGAATGCTTAAACCGTGGGAGAAATGACTAGACTTGAAGGAACCCAAAACAAAGCCAGAGGTTAACACTCGCTTGCGTGAAAATCTTCAACAAGGCTGCTTCCCTTCCCCCGATCCACGAGAGATCATTCGTGTGAGCCAGGTGAGCTTCTGGGGCGAGGTGGACCGGTTTCTGGCTAAGACCTCGGTGGAGGTTGTGGCCAGCGGTTTCCGCTGGACCGAGGGGCCCACCTGGGTAGTGGCTCGGACGAGTGGCTATCGCCGGGGCGGGGGGGGGGGGGGGCGGGGAGGTCTTCAGATTTTTGCGACATGATTTCGCTATTCGGAAAGACAAACGTCCGTATGCTGACCCTCTTCTGTGTGGACATGGCGACTGCCGGCTGCCGTGGTTTTCGCAAGTTTTGCACTTGCTCGTGAAAATGATCTGACATGTTTCGTGGGAACCCAATTCTCAGTTTTGTCTTTGTTCCGTACTTGGTACAAGCAACAAGTGCTCATTGCTTGGCACCAACCTCCGCGTGCTCTCTAGGCTTCGGACAGCTCCCTGCTCTTCTCTGACACCATCGACGCCCGGATTTACCGCTGGACAAGGGATGGCGTGGCCGTTGTCTTGGAGCACTCAGGGGGCTTCGATGGCAGCAACGTGCCCGGCCACGAAATGCTCTTCGAGGTGGGGAGCTGCTCGGCGAAACATGGAAGCGACGGCTTTCTTGTTATAGTCAGTTGTTATAGTCTTTGGGCTGCAAAACGAGTGTCACTTGCTTGGTATGGAAGTTCTACCAACATTGCGTAGCTCGGCATTTGCAAAAGCACGCCCCTGCGTTTCACTTGAGCTTTACACGCATAGACTAACTTGCTCTGGGGAATGCCAACATCTTCGTATGATCACTTATCTTCTCCAGTTGTTTGCATCATAGTCTGTATCACTAGAATGCAGAATGCTCACGTGATCTTTAATGCTTTGGAAGAGATCATGCAGCAAACAAGAGGGGCGGGCATGAGCATCAGGCACGCACTTCATTTGTAGCCTGCAAGGCAATGGAATGGCGCTACACGAGGACAGCGACTGGAGAGTGATCGGCATCTTTCGGCCTTGGGATGATGAAGGCTGACAGACTTGGTAGTGTGTCGCATTTGGGGACGCTCAAACGAGCAGCAGCCGATTCCCAAACAAATGGGCAAACAAAAGATTCGGACGAAGCGCGAGCCTTTTAAATTTAAACAAGTGCATGGTGCAAAAGTTGCGCAAGCCGGAGCCTAAATGCCCGCGACCCATGCACTTAATGATTGGAATTTAGATGCTTAGGCTCCTGTCTTGATTTCCTGCTTGGGGGCATCCCTTCTCAATGCTTTGAGCCGAGAGATGAATCCACAGCCCTAAACTTGATTCGTTATACCTAGGATTTGAATTGTTTCTTAGTCGTCATTTTAGTAAAGGGCAAAGATGCGAGATGTTGCCAAGTATTGATCCAGGTTTCAGCTGGCTCCATTCTTTTAGCAAACTCACCGCTATGTGGCAGGGAAACAACCAACCAGTTTCTGACTTTGATACCCTCTGGAAACAGTCAAAATAATGCACCGAGTTATGTTAGTGTTCCTTTCGACCAGATGACACTCCAGAGGGCCCTCAGGACGTTGCTGGCATCGCAGAAATAATTTCCGCTGAACCGGATTAGCTGAGAGGTGTGCGCCAACAAGACTTCGGACGGCTTTGGCCCACTTTGGACCCAACTCAGACACCGGCTTCAATGTCCGTTTGGTGCATGTTGTTTGCCGCCCGCAGGAGCACCTGTACGTCTGCCAGCATCCTACCCATCGGGTGGTCAGGAGGGTTGGGTGAAATTGACCGACCATCCCATATGCTCATATGCTGTATGAAGGAACACATGAAACATGGATAGTTTGCTTGACACAACAAGCAGCCTTCAACAAGTTTCGTGGCAACTCAGCTGACCGCACAATGCCTCTTCACTGATGGCCCTCAGTCCCCAAGCTTTCCTATGCCTTGGCTCGGCTCAGCTCATCCAGGATCGCGCTGGCCGATTTGACGCCGGGTCGCTTCTGCGAGAAGAAGTTCCAAGTGCTCGCGGACTCCTTCGAGGGGCGGCGTTTGAACTCCCCGAATGACGTGGTGCTGGGGCCGGATGGTGCCGCGCCTTGGGCGAGGATTTGAGAAGAGCAGGAGAAGAGCAGGCCTGAATCCCTGGAAGCAGCCCGAGTCAATTGAGCTTTCTCAGGTGTGGTTCACGGATCCCATCTACGGGTTGCTGAAGAAGCCCGCGGCGGACGCCTTTGGGCCAGTGCTGCCGGCCGCTCCGGACCCGTGTCACAACCCCTGCGACCTGCCATACTTGGACGAGAGCTCCCAGCAGAAGCGGCACCTCGGCACGGTGGCATAGCGCAAGGCAGGCGAAGTGCGAGCAGCCGTACGCTGCGCTTGAAGAGTGATACATTAATAGCTCCAGGATGGCACTTTGCGTTTTGCTGCTCAGTTTTGGTGGTCTTTTCGTTGATGCTGGGCTTGGCAAGTTTCTCAGTTATCCAAAGCCGAACCTTTGTTCTTTAGGCTTTCAAGTGCTGCTGGTACGGTTTTAGCGCCTTCCCGACTGATGTAGCCCAGGACAGGCGTCTTTCGGTGGAAGGATGGTGCCGCTTGGGCTATACATTGGGCTTTCCTGGGCGTGGGACGTGTCAGCTTGTCCAAAGGCAACTTTCAGCTCTGCAAACGTCTTCGCTCTTTTGACACTCCCTTCTAATGCACTCCTTGTGCTGACTTTCTTGGCTTGGGCATATTGCTTCAATCGCGCTTGGGACAGCCCACTCTTTGCCGCCTGGGTCGAGAAGTACTCTTTGTATTGAACGACCCAGGACCTCCAGCTGGCCACCACACTGCTGGACCGGCCCAACGGCTTAGCCTTCTCCCCGGAAGGTGACCTGCTGTGGGTGGCCAACAGTGCTCCGCCTGGAGATGAGGGGAGTGAGGGCCGGGGATTGCGCCGGAAGAGAGATTCTTGGCTTTGTTTTTTGTAGCGGGAACCGGCCGTCATGCCAATGCCTTTGCGACGTTTGTCTTCAAAGAACCAGCCATTTTGCAAAAGATTTGTGAATGGCAGAGTTGAGCTAGGCTGCATCGTGCTTCTCCTCAGATGGGAAGAGAGGCGTACAGATAACAACGACCGATCCATTGGGCTACACATTGTAGCCTTTCCCTCAGATCCATGTATTGATTGAAACACAATTTTGCCCGCACCATGCAGTCAAAACCTCCAGCTTCCAGCCTTGGCATCGTAACTCAGCCAAAGGCATTCCCCTTCAGCAACCCCCTTATCACACATTCCGAGCACTTCACCACTAATCTTTGTCGAAGTTATTGTTGACGCTTGACTGACGCCATCCCAGTTCATGGGTTTGCCAGCTTTGTGGCCACTTCCGGGCTTTGAGGCAACAAGCACCTGGCCAGCTGGACTGCCTTCGAGGTGGGCACTCCTCTCCGCCCTGTGCGCGCCCTGAGCGAGACCGGGGCATCGCCAGCGGGCATCCCCGCAGCGACGCTGGGGGAGATGCCGGGGCGCGGGGTGTCCGACGGCTTCAAGCGGCTTGGGCTATTGCTTCAACATGACTTGCGTTTGGGGGAGTTTGTCAGAGTTGTTAGTCATTGGGCCAGGAACTTGGACTGCTCTACAAAGTCTCCTGCGCGTGAATTTCCATGTGGCTTTCTTTGGGCCACCCCGACATGGGGAGACGCCCCATTCGATTCCCATACCTGCTGATAATTAATGATCACGGCCGGGTCTGTGAACGATTATAACCTGCCAAACAACAGAGTTGAACGCTACGCTTTAAACATTGCTGTTGGCGATGGGCTTCCTAATCTCAATTGAGATGTTTGGCTGCTTGATTACCTGCTTCACTCACTCACGGACAAGCGATTGCTGGTTCGCTGACCTGGCCTAAGCTTACGGCGGCGCTTGCCACTTGATTTGTGTTGGGATCCAAGTCCTGATTCTTTTTGCTTGACAGAACACCTAGAATCTTCTTTCCGAGACATGTGATGGCACGTGAACTTGTCACGCCCAGGATTGATGCGGAGGGCTTCATTTGGAGCTCCATGCCGCAGGGCGTGTGCATCATAGATCCCCGGTTGCCCACACCCCGAGTGGTGGCAAAGGCGGGAGACTCTTTTGGTTTGGCAGCCGCTCAAGTCTTGTGTATGACTTAAGAGACGTGCTGTGGGTGCGAGACCCTGCACATTGTTGCCGCATCATGCCGCATCACGAGCTATTTCTTCGCTCGGGTGATGAGCTTTGCCACTTTTTGTTCTTGCTAGTGGCATGCAACTCTTGATTGCCAACCGCCTGTGCATTTTTCCTAGTGGCAGAGCCAACGCTGACATCCGAGCACGCCTGCTCATGCGATTTCCTCCGTGCGCAGCTTTTTGCTCTGGCGCGGAGGTATTTTTCAACACCAACATTTCGAACATTGCCTTCGGCGAAGGTGACCAAGCAGCACTTGGTAGCATGATTGGTACGGGAAGGGCACCTGGGCGAGCGTAGATGTGTAGCTACAATTCGAGAAACACATCCAGCCAGAAATGGCAAGACGGCTTGAAATCAACGGCAAGTACATTTTGACAGATTCAAGCGCCCCTTTGCAGCCAGGCATGACTGGCCAAATCTGCCTTACAAGAAGCCTGGGTGTGGGCAGGTTGTTGCTTGGGCTTCCAACACAAGTGTTTTGAACTCTTCGTCAATTACGTCACTAAGTCGCTTCAGTGGCTCTTATTGTGCTTTTCCAAGCATCTTGCAGCCTTGCCTTATCAAATTCATTTGAGTTGATTTAATATCCCGGTCTTTTCAAAACGTAGGATCGTGCGCAACATAATCCGCCCAATGTTGTGGGCTGGCTCCATAGGCAGATGCCTCATGGGAGCCCAAAAGAATTTGGAAGGTGAACGACCACATGTAGGCGCCCCAATCATACGCGACGCTGGCCTTTTATCGCTATTAAGCAGCCGTTCTTTTGTTTTGCATTTTGTGTGTCCTTGTTTTTGTGGGCGCGGACAATGTCAGGGTGCAGATGCCTCTGGAGTTTCCCCCAAAAAGGGGCACCGAGGCGGCGACGTTTGGGTCACGGGCTTGGGCCACATTTGGCGGCTCCAGCGGCGATGAAGGCAGGGGTGAGGCGAACGGGGGGGCCGGTTTGTTCCAGTCCCTCACTGTAGGGTCAAGCCTCATTGGTTTCGAATGATAGCCCCCAGCCCCTGTGCACTGTTCTACTTGTCAGCCAGACTCAGAGTAAGGAAAAGCCTTCAGAGCAGCAGTGGCGAAACGTGGATTGCTAGTTTGTTCCTGGATCTTCACCCAGACTGCAACGAAATGCAGGGAGGCAAGCAAGCAAACCGATACTTGTTCACGACGCGGAAGAGGACATGCTTGCTTGTGGACTCTGCTAGACGCAGAGGAAGAGATATCGTGCTCTTTCCCCAAATATTACATCTCAAATTGGTGATGTTGAGCGTAAGCAGGGAAAGAGATGTGTGAAATCCGGCGTGTGAAGGAATTGAAGAACCAGGAAGCAGACGCATCAAGCCAAGCATCACGGTATCTCGGAGTATCGTGTTCTCTGTGACACGTGGTCTTGTTGCCGGATGGAGAGTTGTGGCTTGACAGCAGCCAATAGTCTCAGGTCCACTGTAGCGAGCGCTCAGGTGCCGGCACCAGCACTGGCCGGGATGACCACACCTAGCGCTGCGCGGTTTGCGGGTGGCCCATAAGGTTTCTTGAGGGAAAATGAGACATGGATTGGCAGTGGATTGCGGAGAACTTGAGTTAAAACGAGTCTTGAGGACTGGTTTTGAGGCAGTTGCAGGGGTCGGATTTAGCAAGACTGGGGTTCGAGCAATCTAAGCTTTCAGCCAACATACACAGTGCAAACATGACCCTCTGCGGATTGTGCTTGAGACGGTTGGAGGGGTTAACGTATCCAAAGATGTCAAATTATCAATCTTAATAGAAGGCAATCCTTATGCAATGGATTGGGTAACCAAGACCTGCTGGGCAAAACCCTGCAGTGCAAGAGCTTTATGGCATTGTACATAAGTTGCGCCCGTCTGGCAGTTGGCGAGCAGCAAAGTCTGCGAAAACTGTAGGGGCGCTTGATTTGTCTCATTTGCCGGCGTTGTCCTTGGACAATTCACCATGTTCCACGAACCACTTGTAAGTGTAGCCAGATAATTTTCCACATGCTCCTCACAGTCGTTCGCCTGCTTCGGCACTGTCATCATAGAGACCCAAACAGCGGTCGGTGCTGCTGGCTAGGGCGAGGAAAAGTGAGCTGCGCACGCAAGCTGAGCAGAAGTGATGGCGGGGCCTGGATTGAAGCGTACTTCCCATGTGCATTAGAGTTACCCTGTGAATGCGAACGCCAACACAAGCACAAACACGAGCACAAACGCAAACGCAGGCGCAAACATGAAACGCAAACACACACACACACATATGTATGTTATGTCTACATATATATATATATATATATATGCATAAATATATACACATGGCTCGATCGCTTGAGGTCGGTGCCTCATGACAGACCTCGAAGTCTTCGAAGAGAAGCGTCGGATGCACGAGCAGGAGGCCGATCCGCACGCCGCCTGTTGAGCAGGGGGAAACTGGGTGTGTCTTTGATTGAGGGGCCCCCCCCTTTGGTTGGGTTTTAAGCGGAGGGCACGTTTCCTCCATGTCGTTTTTTTGGAATCTCCGAAAGTGGCAGTTTCAATGGAGACCACCACTCAATTGCAACTTTTGAAGGGGACATCCAGAGACACCCGGCTGGGCTGGCTGCAGGTGCAAAGGACGAGCTGCTGGATTGATGGTGGCAATCATCAATACAGCGAAATGCATATTTGTGTATCTATTGTCGCTGTCATTTGGTACAAACCCACACATAGACAGACATGAGTCACGGTCAACGTATGGTAGACAATTAACAAAGCGGGGTTGGCAGCACAAATTTGCAGAAAGCCTCGCAAAACGATAGGGCCCCCACCAAAAGCGATAAGATGGGCAGAACGCTGTCAAACGATAGGGCCCAAACCAAAAAATGTACCTACATAAAACCCTCCTTGACGAAGACACGTGATTTTGACGGTAGCCCATATGTCTATTTATATATATATATATATATATATGTTCCAGGCCGTGGACCCCCCCCCCCCCCCCCCCCCCCCCCCCCCCCCCCCCCCCCCGGGGGGGGGGGGGGGGGGGGGGGGGGGGGGGGGGGGGGGGGGGGGGGGGGGGGGGGGGGGGGGGGGGGGGGGGGGGGGGGGGGGGGGGGGGGGGGGGGGGGGGTGTGGGGGGGGGGGGTGGTTGGGGTGTGGTTCGGAGTTGGTTGAGGCTTGGTGGGTTGGTTTAGGGTTGGTTCAGGGTTGGTTCAGGGTTGGTTCAGGGTTGGTTTGCGGTGGGTTTGGGGTGGGTTTGGGGTTTGGGTTGATTTACGCTTAGGGTTGGGGTTAAAGGGTGGTTTGGTTTAGGGTAGGATGTTGCGAGAGGTGCGGGTGTTGGTTCACGGGGTGAAAGGGGGTCTGGGTCGGGCTCGCACGGTACTGGACAGCATCCCCAGCATTGCCAGCATCATCCCCAAGATGCGGATGATGCGGGGGAGTGGGGGGGCGTGGCCCAGGGACTGGTACATATATGTACATGTGCGGGGTACCTCCTTGGTACATTTGCCCCCTCCCCCCCTTGGATTTCAAGCAATTCGCAGTGCCCATTTTAGTCTCGTTTTGACAGCCTTTATAAGGACGCCTTTCTGAGCCCTCGTTGCAGGGCTCCTTATGTGCCCAGGGTACACCAGACCCGGGCCCGGGATGCCCGCAAAATAGAAACTTTGGAACTTTGTCGAAATTAAACTCCTTAGAAGGCTTACCCCACAAATGACTGTGTGTAAAGACTTCCTTATAAACGTCTCCTTCAAAGGGATCCTAACAAAGCTCTGCGCAAAGGCTTCCTTTTAAGCTTCCTTGTAGAAAGCTTCTAATAAAGGCCGGCGGGCTGGGTCGAGAAAGTGTCCCCGGTCGGTCGGTCTGTCAGTCGGTCGGCTGTCGGTGGGTGGGTGCTGTTTGGCTTGCGTGACTTTTTGCGTGTTTTTGTGGCTTGTTGTAGCTTGGGCTTTCCACGTCCTCAGCTAGCATTACTGCCGCAACCCACCCTAAACTAGCACTAAACAATCCCCAACCGCAAAAAAAGAAACACATCCCTAAATAAGCCCTAAGCAAACCCTATACCAACCCTAAACCAAAGAAACCAAACCAATCCTAAGCCCACCCTGAACCCGCACTAAACCAGCACTCAAGCATCCCTGAACCTGCCTAAGCCTCCCATATGGGAATATGGGCATAGTAAGGATTTGTACAGATTGAAGAGACAGGCGCTTGTTGTTTGCATACTAGCAACGCGTATACATACATATATATATATATACACATACATATATATATATATATTATACATATATGTGTATATATATATATATATTATACCTGTATATATTTATTATATCTGTATATATATATAGATACAGGCTCATATTACATATATATATATTACATATATATATATATACACATTCAATAACTTTCCAGACTCGGCCAATGTGCTAGAAAGGTCCCTGCCACATATATACATATATATATACACACACACATATGACTCTGTATGCCTGCATCTCCCCCCACGCGCAAAGTGACAATATGTTCATACATACCTGGAAAGCGATAGGGCATCAAGCAAGTGCGATGTCGGACATGACGCCATCAGAAACAGAACTGGGTTAGGTGCGCTGGCATTTTGGGCCGTCAATGGTCTTGAGGAGGACCAAAAAGGACAGAGGCCGTTTCTATGCCTGCTTTGTGCCCGCAAAAGGCGGCTTTTTGTACCAGGCTCTTTAGGTTTCCTTATGCAGATGCCAATGGCAGCCCGGTGGCATTGAAGTCCACGCGAGGCGATGAAGCTGGAGAACGACCAGAGGTCCTTGCGCGAGGAAGGGCTGGGGGCGCTCGTTGGGTGTTTTCCATGGGCGTCCCATGGTTCTTCTTCAGGGTTCGGCCACGAAGGGGTTCCTGCTCATGTGCTACCAATGGGCTTTCCACGGGTGTCACAAGTTCCTCATAATTATTTAGCTTATATTGGCGTCCGAATCGGTTCACCAGATGCTTTCAAGGTTTCTCATAGCTAGACTCTCATGGATGTCCCATGAATTGCTCACTGGTTCCCATCAGCCCTGCCCTGGGGTTTCACAACCCGTGAGAAACTGAGCACGTACTGGCGGGGTTGTTTGATCCCTTTGCTTTGGACAGTTCTGAGACGAGGGGCCCTACCACTTTTGACAGGAAATCACATGCAAATGACCTAAGGACCTGTCTCAAGGAAACCTCGGCTTGTGGCTGAGGATGTTGATGAATCTGCGATTCCCGAGCCACAATGCAGCACCCATCACCAGCGACAGGAACACTAAAGCTGAGCCCAAGAGGTAGGCCTATCGTAAGAGAGGCACTCACATAGACATAGGCATACCCGTATATACACACACACATTTGTATATAATATAGATATATACAAATGTACATGTAAGTGTGTATATGTTACGTATGTATATATATATATATACACATGTATATGTATATATGTATATATGCACATATATATGTATATATATATATATATACATATCACGGTAGAGAGGCACTCATGGAAGGCGTATATCATGATACTTATGGCTAGACGGCACAGGAGAAGGAGAACTTCGAGAAGGAGCTGCGGAGCGTTGGACTCATGGCGCAGGAGCTGGAGAGGCGGGAGTGCGGATGGGAAGCAACGCGGCGGCCGTGGCTGTGGTTCGTCTCGTTTTGGAGTTGGTACCCTTTTTTGTGTGGCTTTAAAGGAACACCAACAGGAAAACTTCCATTGTTGGGGGTCCCCACCAAAAAAGACACAGCCGCGTTGAGGTAAGTAGCTCGGATGCAGAATGGAGAAGGCGTATACTTGATTCACGTGGGTTGTAGGACATGTGCTCATGAAGAAGCAGCTTTAAGCAGAATCACTCTGTGGCTTGCCAACTTCTCCACCGGCAAGCTGATACGCATATCGTCATGGAGGACGGCATGTGGAACCCGATGTTTCCTGCGTGGTTGAGGAATTCCCTACGACCATCAAACTTGTGTTGAATATTTCCACTGGGTAGCAGATGTCTCCAAATGAGCCACCTCGTTTGCTTCCTTCTTGCAACTATGCCGCTATGCCAAAAAGAAACTCGAAAGAAAACCAAAGCCAAACGCACTATTTGAAGGGGGCCCTTGCCTAATTTTGGTGCACAGCCAATCATCCAACATCACGCATTCATTTGCAGTCCCGCTTACATCCCCACTTGGACGTTGGTTGCAGTTCCGACGTGGGGCTGACTTGCAGGCGTTCTGAAGAGATCCGCGCTTTGCATGAGGAAGCGGCAGAGGCGCGTGAATCGTTCAAAGTGGGTGATCCAACAAGCCTGGAAACGGACAGCAAAAGGGGTACATCCGGGTGTTTGCGAGTTTCCGGACTCCAAATTGAAAAATACGTATATAAAGGAGACATGTAGAATTGTCGGTGAGTGCTGTTGGCAACATTATAGCATTGACAGTGACTAAGAGCAAGCATACTTCCCAACTATCCAGATCTGCTGCCATGCAATCTAGTTTGCACGTGCAGTGAACGCAGCCCAGCGTGGCAACTGTCTATGCTGACGCGGTTCAAAGCGTGTGTAAGGGTGTAAACATGCCGAGGGGAGGCCCAGAGTGCTTCGAGAAAATGATTGTGCCTCTGAACTTGACCTTTGCTCTCCTGCTGCATGGCTTGTTCAGTGTCCTTCTAAAGCCAACAAAGGGGGGAAGGCAAGCATTCGAGGCATGATTTTTGCGTCTTTTCCCGTGTCAATGAAGTAATTCAACAAGATACACACAGTCATGGGCCACGTGGCGAGCCAGGCCCGCGGCGAGCTGCAGCATCTCAGGGGCCAGCTGCAGGCGCCGATCAGCCGATCAGAATCTTCAGTGCCAGCTGGCAACATCTTGAGGATATGGCGCTGACTAGAAGAAAACACAACAGCAAGCTACATGTGACGAACCTTGCAGATTGTGAGGACTATTAAAAAGAAAGAAACAGCAGCTAGCACACCTTGCACATTGTGAGGATGTGGCGAATTGGATGGCATGCATGGCCCGCGGCGACATGTCAGGATTTTATTCGCGCCAGGTCTGGCTAAGAAACCACATGACCCATGCTCAGGCGGAAGACTACCTGTTTTGGTCCGATTTCCTGCGGTGGTTGGCGGAAAACCCTGATGTCATCCATTCTCAATTGACCAAGCAGCAATGATCCATATTGCTTAGTTTAAGCTGTGGCTACAACAACGATCGGAGGGCGGCGGGGGTATACAGACCAGATTGCAGCGTGACCTGTCATGGATCTGCCTGAGAGCCATGGTTCTGCGCTCGCGAGCATGCCTTCAGGGCAGGATCTGTCGATGGATCCCCGCAAGGGCAAGCAGTACCGAAAGGCGGATGGTCTCAACACGCGACTTGAGGACAGGGATCCCGCGTCCACCTTGGTGCCGCCAGCCCTACGTGTGCACGTGGGATTGCCCTATCGCACCTTCACACGCCGCATGACTGGAGATGATGTCCTGGTCGTGCCGGAGCTGCTCTGTGACCAAGATGACCAATCTCTCTATCACAAAATGGTGGAGGAAATCCGTGTCGCGCAGGTAGAGGGCAGCAAGGAAGCCAGGTGGGCATCCTGGAAAGATGGCTGCCACTTGATTACAAAGGCGCCGGAGTGTTCGGCAGCTTACCGTGATGTGGTCGCCAAAGTCATTGCATATTTCCGGATTCTGGAGCCCTCAGTCTACTGTCGCTTCAACTGGTATGTGAATGGTGCAGATTGGAAGCCGCTGCACCATGATACGGCGGCCTTCAGCCAGCGACGACTGGGCAAGCAAAACATCACTGTTGGGGTTTCATTGGGTGGTGAGCGGGAGCTTGCTTTCCGTCACGTGCAACATGGCACCCTGGCATATTTTCCGCAACTGAATGGAATGGCCTTTTCCTTTGGGCGTCGCATCAACATCAACTGGAAGCATGGCATCAACGCATTGCCCCTTGACAGGCACAATCAGCTTGGACGGATTTCCATAATCCTTTGGGGTTGGAGCGAGCTTGCAGTCGAAGAGAACGAGGAATATGGTGAAGCTGAAGGTGACGTACCAAAGGCGGAGGCCTTTCACAGAACATGCAAGCAGTTTCAGAAGGGGAAGTGTACCTATGGTGAGCGCTGCAAGTTCTCACACTCCGAGGGGCCGCTTGTGGAGGTCACAGAAGTCAAGTAGCTGGACGACGCCGATAGTGCGTTGGCTCGCTAGAAGCGTCCATGCAGACTGCAAGAATCTCAGCCCTCTCAGCCATTACGTCTTCATAGTGCATGGAGATGCATTCTGCATCCGGTGGTGATCTGCATTCACGCGGTACTCTGGAAGCAAACTCTGCCAATCCACATCTTGCAAGCGCACTTATCGATGGGCATCTCACTATGCTGGGCTGCTGTGCTTCTATTGAAATTGTGCAGCATTTGGATGGCTGATGGACAGGGCCGTTTCCAAGCTTCCGTCCTACTGAGCTATCCTGGCCCTGAAGCTTGGTCCCGCACCAGTTGTCGTTGGCATTTCGTGGAAAAGAAAACACGACTTGGCTCGCCCTTGGCTTATGTCTGGGTCCATGGGTGGATATTGTCTTGCCGTTTGCCTCATCCCGCGTCCCTTACGTGTCGCGCCGGCACAGGAGGAGCGCAGCGCGCAGGGCAGCGAGATGGAGCGGCTCCGGACCATGCCGGGCTGCCTGGGTGAGCAGTTCTGTTGGTCTGTTGGTCTGATGGTTTGGATGGGAGAGATGGGCTGGGCTGGTTTGGGCTGGGTTTGATTCGATTTGGGCAGAATCAATCAGTTCTGCTTGCTCCGAGGCTACCGTTACGCTTTCACAGCCAGTCCCTTTCTCTGACTTCCTGGGGCCGGCCGATTTTGTCCAAAGTGTGCAGCCATTGTCTCAAACTCCCAAGCGCTCACTTTTTTGGGCATGCTTTTGAATCGAACCCCCTTGCCGATCAGGAGCCTTGTCATGAGCATTTGCTCACGCTTAGCCCCCGAGTGCACGAAGAATTATGGGCTGGGATCATTTCCTAGTTTGGGAGTCTCCATATGAGTCTCCCTTCAATCACTGATCGAGATGCTGGGCGGGGAGACCATTGATGGGGAAGCTTGAAGGAGATGCCACAGATTGCAGGCAGAGCGACGAACCAACTGACCAAACAGACGGCCTTCACAACTTTTGGGCAGCTCCCAAGCCAGTACCAACACAGAGATCCTTCTAGCCGCTGTGCACAATTTCTGGGCCCCCTCATCTTCTGTTTGAAGAAGAAACTTCGCGGCAAAGGAATGATGGTACTCTTCAAGGGTTCAGGTTACTGATGGGTGGCAGCACGGCAGGGCTAAATGTTGATTTTTCCGATGACCCAAGGGCTCCTTCAGTGCCTAGATTGGGCATCAGTGCTTCTAGCGCTTGCTTGTTTGCATGCGCAATATGGTGCGAATGATGAGTACATCAACATAGACTGCCATATCTAGTCAGTTTTACAGATGCCTTACTTAGCTTTGGCCTTACTGATGCCCTGGGGTTACGCATGGGTGCACACAGGTGTACTTATCGATGCTTCAATCAGATCGTCATAAGGATTATTTTTTGGGCGAGCCCATGCAGGCACTTTATGAGCGTAGCACATCCGAATTGATCAAGCATATACGGTGGATATAATGAACAGCAGCACACCGTGATCGATTCATCTCAAGTTTCATGGCTGTCATGAGCAAACGCCGAACGGTGTGAGCAATGCGGAATTAAGCATCCCTGCAGTTTTTCGTCACTTTTCAGTTTCTTCTTTTCTCTGGTTCGATACGTTTTCTGAAAGCTGCGCAGCTCTGCGAGGCAGTCGCTGATCGAGCAGC